GACCCAGTGTTACATCAAAATTACTCTGATTTTATGATGGAATACCTAAAAAGTGGTCATATGAATATTTTAGATAATCCTACTCTTGAAAATAGCTACTACATTCCCCATCACTGTGTAATTAAACCAGAGAGTACAACTACAAAGTTAAGAGTTGTATTTGATGTGTCCGCTAAACTCCCTGGTAAGCCCTCACTCAATGATTCTCTTTTAATAGGAGAGAAATTACAAAAGGATATTGTCACTATTCTTTTAAATTTTCGTTTTTTTTCATTTGTTTTTTCTGCTGATATTAAGCAAATGTATCGTCAGATACTTGTTAACCCAGAACACACTTCGTTTCAAAGAATTTTATGGCGATTTTCCCCCGATGATCCTGTAAAGGATTATCGACTTAATACGGTGACGTATGGAGTTTCATCAGCTCCATTTTTAGCACTTAGAACTATAAAACAATTGGCCATAGATAGTAAATCTGAATTTCCTTTAGCTTCTCAAACTCTACTCTCTGATGTCTATGTTGATGACATTGTAACTGGTTGTAACTCATTGGAGGAAGCGTTGACATTGCAACACCAACTTATTACTCTTTTAAACTCTGCTGGATTTGAATTACGAAAGTGGGCTAGTAACCATGAAAGGTTGCTGTCTCATTTACCTACAGATTATTTAAATAGTCAGGTTTTTTCTTTTGATTTGGAACCAGGCTCGTGCATAAAAATATTGGGTTTGCAATGGTATCCTTCTTCGGACTCATTCTCTTATAATGTAAAAGTTTTTTCTGAAAGTTGCACGAAGCGTTCCATCCTCTCTGAGTTGGCACGTATATTTGACCCGTTAGGCTTCCTAGCTCCATTGACATTCTCTGCTAAAGTTTTGATTCAACAACTTTGGTCTTTGGGATTAGATTGGGATGACTCACCACCTAAAGATGTATTATTACGTTGGAATAGGTTTAAGTTAGAACTTCCTGAGCTTTCAAAGTTATCCGTACCTCGACATATTTTTCTTTTCTCATCTAATTCATGTGACGTTCATGGTTTCTGTGACGCATCTGAGAAAGGTTACGCAGCCATTGTTTATTTTGTTAATGAAAATAAAAGTCCCTTTCTTGTATGTGCTAAGTCCAAAGTATCCCCTCTCAAAAGAATTTCTATACCTCGATTGGAGTTGTGCGCTGCAGTTTTATTGGCTGATTTAATTTCATTTGTAGTAGAGACTTATAAAGGTAAAATAAACTGTAACAACATTTATGCTTGGTCAGATTCAACTATCACTCTTGCCTGGATAAAATCGTCTCCACATAAATGGAAAACTTTTGTTAGCAATCGGGTTTCTGCTATTCAGGATAAAACTTCTCCTTCTATGTGGCGCCATGTGCCCACACAGGAAAATCCCGCAGATTGCGCATCGCGCGGGTTGCTACCTTCTGAATTAATAAGTCACCCTCTCTGGTGGACAGGACCTCAATTTCTAAAACTTCCACCTTCTTCCTGGCCTACTTGCAGTGTAACTTTTAACGAAACGCATCTCGAAGAAAGGAGAATTGTCTTAGCAGCTTTTGATGACCCTCATTGTTTGGATACTCTCCTAACCAAGTTTTCCTCTTTAGGTAAAATTAAAAGAATTATTGGATACGCCCTTCGTTTTGTTTATAATTTGAAACATCCTCATTCTCGAAAGTCGTCATTCGAAACTTCTGATCTAGACAACTCTCTCATGGTTCTTGTTAAGCATGTTCAGCAAAGATCTTTCGCAGACGATCTAGATAGATATGTAAAAAATAAACGCGTATCAAAACCCCTTCGAAAACTATCCCCATTTATTGATGAATCAGGTATTCTCAGGGTCGGCGGTCGTCTTAAAAACTCGCAACTCTCTTATGATCAAAAATTTCCCGCGTTGTTACCTCAGAAAAGTAGACTAACCGCTCTTATAATTGAAGAATATCATAATAAACACTTTCACCCTGGTGCTCAAACACTCCAACATTTACTAACCCAAAGATTCTGGATTTTATCCCCCAAGCGAGCTATCAAATCTATTGTGGGTCGCTGTAAAAAATGTTGGAAACTCAATCCAAAGCCTTATCAACCTCCCATGGGGAATTTGCCTGCTAGTAGAATTTCTCAATTAAAACCATTTTCCCATGTTGGAATTGATTTTGGTGGACCTTTTTTTATTCTCATGTCAAAGCATCGAGGTGCAAAGACTACTAAGGCCTATTTGTGTCTTTTTGTTTGTTTGGCCACGAAGGCCTTACATTTGGAGCTTGCATCTGACCTCTCTACTGAAGCTTTCCTCGCTGCATTTCGACGATTTATTGCCCGCCGTGGTCGATGTTCCAAGATTTGCACAGACAACGGTACCAATTTCGTAGGTGCCAGTAAATATTTGCGACAAATTATGCGCGAAGCTTGCGTGGAAGAGGCTATTGAGTGGTGTTTTAATCCACCCGCGGCTCCTCATTTCGGAGGAATTTTTGAAGCTGGCATAAAGTCTGTTAAAACCCATTTAGCCAGGGTGATCGGTGAACAAATCTTAACATTCGAAGAATTATATACTGTGCTAGTTCAAATTGAATCTCTTTTAAATTCGCGTCCGTTAACCCCTTTGAGTTCTGATCCAAATGATCTAAATGCGCTTACCCCCGGTCACTTTCTAACCCTTGAACCTATTTCTGCACTTCCTGATCCCGATTTAACTTCCCTTAAAATTAATAGACTCTCGCGTTGGCAACTTTTGCAAAGATTACACCAAGACTTTTGGTCGAGGTGGAATATAGAATACCTACACAATTTACAACAGAAGGGGAAATGGACCGATCCAAGTACTCCCATAATACCAGGTACCTTGGTTGTGATTAAGTCTAATTTAACTCCCCCTGCTAACTGGCAACTCGGCCGTATTGTAGAAGTTTTCCCTGGTGCAGATGGGGTGACACGGGTAGCCTCGGTGAGAACGGCGCATGGAGTCTTTAAAAGGGCAGTTGTCAAACTCTGTCCTCTACCCCTCTATTAATTAAATTTAACTTTATTTTTGTTTCGTTTAAAAAAAATATTTTTTTTAAGGTCGGCGGAAAATGTTGGGTTTTCTTCAACACTATATTAATTTAATATTAATTTTTTTTAGTTTAATTTTATTAAATGTATATTTAGATTTATGTGCAATGTGGGTTGCCTTAATTCAATGGTTAATTTGTTTAATTATGATTTTTCGCGATAATTACGCCCCTGGTGGCAATAACGCCTCATATAGACAATTGCGTACACACACACGTGCAAGAGTCTCCGAATAACGCGCATACTATTAATTCGACGCTTCTCGACCGGCAAGAAAATTGTGTGGTGGTGCTCCTTATTTCAAAGGCAATTTATGAAGAACCAGAACTACAGTCCACTCCGTCAGAAAATAAGCAAGGTAAGTCACTAGGGGTTGTCTCGTTTATTTTTTTTAATCTTTTACGCAACAAGTCTGATAACGACTGATAAGGAAAAAAATCTCAACACAACGTCCACTAACATTGAACGGTTGTCTCTAAGATTTTAAAGTGGTTTACCCCTCGCATTTGACAGCTGATTACTAAAAGTTGTAGTTTTGTTACGATGATAACGGTCAAGTGGTGGCGCTACTAGCGATGCTTCTTTAGCCTATAACAAAACAATTAAACACCGTTATTTTTTTAGGGCACAATCCACACAACAAGGTCTGTTGTATCTCATTACGCGCGTACTAAAAATCACTGCAAAACTGCACAGACTCGAACGGCGGCCATTTTTATGTTGTTTACAATTCTTGTACTTTGGGTTTGTGCTGTTTATACAGATTAAAAATCGTTTTAAATGTTGTGTTTCTCACAGAGGCACTTGTAAGCATCAAATAAGGCCTTAAAGTGCGAAGAACAACCATTTTACTATTTTTTTTTGTAAAAAATAAACCTTATTCACGGTGTGCCTGAACGAAGTTTAGGTCACATAAAAATGACGCCAAAAACTGATTGCAGTTTCTTGTTCGGAACCCTTTGGTAACTTAAAAATGATATTTACCAAAATCCTAGCTGATTATCTTTTCAAAATTTTTAAAAAATTCATTTTAAATTTTTGTTTATCTTAATGTCTACCTTTGACAGAGTACACATTTGTACACCGATTTTTATAATATTGGAGTATATTGTTAAGGAGATTTGGAGAATACTGTTTATACTGTGCACATCATTTAATATATACAGGGTTAGCCAAAAATCGCCAAAAAAGCAAAAGCGTAAATTCATGATTTTGGCATAACACGCAAAAAAGATATATCCACCCATGTTTTTTTAGATATTTTTATGTTTATCAGGCTACAAAATGGGATTCTTATCAAGACTTTATAAGAAAAATTGATTTTGAATAAAATTAAATAAAATACATTTTTTTGGAGATAAATCTGTTTTGTGCATTATGCTTTTTACTATATAAAAACAGGATTTTGAAAAGAGGAGCAGCTAGGATTTTGGTAAATATCATTTTAAAGTTACCAAAGGGTCCCGAACAAGAAACTGCAATCAGTTTTTGGCGTCATTTTTATGTGACTTCATCAGGTTAATTAACCATAACCCACCAATCAGGAGAGGTTGTTTTTAGCACTTTAATGCCTCATTTAACGTTTACAGGTGCCTCTGTAAGGAACACACCGTTTAAAAGAATTTTTAATCTGTATAACCAGCACAAACCCAAAGCACAAGAATTGTAAATAACATAAAAATGGCCGCCGTTTGAGTATGTGCAGTGATTTTTGACTAGGACCGAGAAGAATCTCGGAAAAAGCGTGGTGGCCATTTAAAAGAACTGCATTATATGTGTAATTAAAATGTATGTTTTAAACCTGTCGCTTCAATAGTCCATAAATGTCCATAATAATACTTTAAAAACCTAATACCCAGTGCGCCACCCTGTTTAATTTAAACAAATTTAGAGCTTAATCTAAAAAGAAATCCCGTGTAATATTTAATTTTATTACAGACTGTTGTTCAGGCTTATACCGTTGGGGTTGTAGTTACTTATTACTCTCAGGCTGTGGTTATACAAGCACTCGTGCTAACATTGGTTGTTTTGGGCGGATTAACTGCATACACATTCCAAACTAAACATGATTTTTCTGCAATGCACTCAGGGTAAGTAAATAAAGTACCATTTACCGTTTAAACATTAACATAGATATTTAAAGTACTGAAATGATTATATAGAATATTCTAAAATAGAGATGGCAAGAAAAAAACCGTTTTAAAAACTTTATGGAGAAACATGTTTAAAATGTTTTCAACCACATCGTTGGTAAATTATACAAGGTGTCCCTAAACTTATTGGCATAAATTTAGGAAAAGATTGAGCAAGTCAAAATAAGACGAAAACCCAAATAAATATTTTTCCTAATTACTTATGTTTCCAAGATACAGGGTGATAAAGTGTTACTTATCAAATCAGTTTTTTAATGTAGCTTCTACTATGGTAGTCTTGGAAAGGTGATATTTTGCGAACAGTCGCTTACTACCAAAACACATATTCACACATAATTATAATTGTTTGAGTGAACACAGTGTCGTAGAAACGGGGGTTGCTTTAAGCCTATTGTCCCATACAAACTTTGAGGTTAGGTTTTTATAACATTTGATGCAATTTTTCGATTACCCAGTTCGTCTACCATTAAAAAGGTGTACCTCTCAAACTTCGATAAAATAAACCGTTTCCGAGATATTCGAGATTACAATAATTCTTATATGGCATTATTTAAAAGGATTAAAAGGTATATGATAACAAATTTTATTTTTTAATTGAAAAAACTGAAAAGGGCATTCCATGCGCCTCGGGACTTTTGCCCTGACCCTCAAATTAAAAAAATTGTAGTTTTTTCAATTAAAAAATTTGTTATCATATACCTTTTAGTCCTTTAATGTGATATAACAATTATTGTAATCTCGAATATTTCGGAAACGGTTAATTTTATCGAAGTTTGAGAGGTACACCTTTTTAATAGTAGCCGAACTGAGTAATCGAAAGATTGCATCAAATGGTATTAAAACCTAACCTCAAAGTTTGTATGGGACAATAAGCTTAAGCAACCCCCTGTTTCTACGACACTGTGTTCACTCAAACAATTATAATTATGTGTGAATATGTGTTTTGGTAGTAAGTGACTGTTCGCAAAATATCACCTTTCCAAGACTACCATAGTAGAAGCTATATTAAAAAAACTGATTTGATAAGTAACACTTTATCAACCTGTATCTTTTAAACATACGTAATTAGGAAAAATATTTATTTAGATTTTCGTCTTATTTTGACTTTCTTAATCTGCTCCTAAATTTATGCCACTAAGTTTAGGGACACCTTGTATATTTTGAACTCGTACATTCCCCAGTAGCACAAAGATATTGGCCCAATATTCGTTTTATATATTGGGCCAACATATCTTTCGTCAGATTTTTTCTAGCTTGGTCCAATATTGAAACCCAACATTGGCCCGAAGTTGTTTGACATTATATAACCGATATTGGAAATCCATATTGGCCCGAAGTTGTTTTACATTATATAACCCATATTGAAAATCCGCATTGGCCCAATATTTGTTTAACCTTAAATTTTAAATTTTATAAAAAGCTTTTGCTAAAAGTAAGTAGTGGGACCCACTGCTTACTTTTGGCAGAGTGGGCCACAGGACCAGCTGTGTCCCTTCAAAACTTACAAGCAGAAGCGGTATGGTCAGTAATTTTGCCTTAGTAAGAAATTCTAACTTAACAGCTTAAGGCATTCCACCTTTATAGGAGTATCTATTGTGCTACAGAGGCGAGAGGTATGCATGGGTTGCCTACATATTGGCGAATTTTGAAACATTTGAAACAATATGGGGCCAACATAGCACACACATCGACTATGATATATTGGATAATCATGTTACGCCAATATAGGGCCAACCTTGAATAAATATTTTTAATGATATATTGGCGTAAAATGATATGCCAATATAGGACCAACCTTGGATAAATATTTTAATGATATATTGGCTTAAACTGATATGCCAATATTGGACCGATCTTGGATAAATATGTTTAATGATATATTGGCGTAAAATGATATGCCAATATAGGACCAACATTGGATAAACATTGGCAAGATATATTAAATAACCATTTTATGCCAATATAGCTATTGTTGAAAAACCCGCATAAAAACTTATAAAAGTTCTATAATATTTAATAAGGATGTATGCGGTTTCTTAGTTTCTATAAGGTTTTGTCTAATTGCTCATAAGGGTTTTATCAGAATTCTATCAGTTTTTATAAGAAATAGTTTTATGAGCCGTGACTTATAAAACTTTTATTAGTTTTTATAAGACTTTACGAGGTACAAATTTCTATAAGAAATTCCAACTAAAATGTTGAAGTGAATTTATAAGATTTTATGTGCACAAGACTTTTATCAGTTTTAATGTGGTTCCTATTTGATAATTTTTTATGAGTTTTTATGTGACTCTATGAGGGATGTAAGTTTATTGGTTTGTATAAGGCCTTAACTATTAAATGTCTATAAGAAGCTATAAGCATATATGAGAAATGAATTTTATCGGATTTTATTGTTTTTTTATATCTAACTTTTATAAGTTTTTATAAGACTTTATATGGTAGGTGCAAATGTCTATAAGGAATTCCAGCTAAAATGTTAAAGAGTACTTATAAGACTTTATGTGCACATGGCTTTTATCAGTTTCAGTATGGTCCCTATTTGATCATTGTTTATGAGTGTTTATGAGACTCTATGAGGGATGTAAGTTTATTGGTTTGTATAAGGCCTTACCTATTATATGTCTATAAAAAGGTATAAGTAATTATAAGAAAATAATTTTATCGGATTTTATTGTTTTTTTACATCTATATAAGTTTTTATAAGACTTTATGTGGTACAGTACTTATAAGATTTTATGTGCACATGGCTTTTATCAGTTTCAGTATGGTCCCGATTTGATCATTGTTTATGAGTGTTTATGAGACTCTATAAGGGATGTAAGTTTATTGGTTTGTATAAGGCCTTACCTATTATATGTCTATAAGAAGCCACAAGTATTTATAAGAAATTAATTTTATCGGTTTTTATTGGTTTTTTACATCTAACTTCTATAAAACATAATATATACCCTTCATTCACTTATCCAATAAATAATAATACCCAGCTGTTACGTGTAACACCTATAAAATATTGATAACATGATGCGTATACGCGTATAATGCGTATTTACGCATTATGTTATCAATATTCTATTGGAGTTACAGTGTAACACTCTTACACGTAACAGCTGTGTACGAGTATTTATCGGATAAGTGATTATAAAGTTTTATGATTATATAGTGTCTTATTAAAACTTTTTTAATTCTCATAAAATATTATATAACATGATCGGTAAATACCTACTGATAAAGTTTAATAAGTTTTCACTAGAGCTTAAAAGTAAGACACCATATATAGTGTCTCTTAAAAACGTATACATACTCATAAAATATGTATATTATATTTATTATTATTACTATTCTACTGACTAGAGTTAAAAAGTAATGTCTCTTAAAAACTCATAAATACTTATAAAATATTATATAACTTGATGCGTAAATACTGATAGTTTAATAAGTTTCGACCAGAGTTGAAAAGTAATTTCTCTTAAAAACTCATAAATACTCATAAAATATTATATACCTTGATGCGTAAATACTCATAAAGTTTAATTAGTATTGACCAGAGTAAGGTTGCCTATGATAAGTAGGCATCTACTATAATATAGTAGAAATCTACTTATCATGGGCAACCATTATTGCATAATACATCTCGCTTATGTGGCACTATTCGTTAAGTATATAAGTTGACACTGGCTGCATTGCAATTTAAGATTTAGGAATACGAACCTCGGCAAATAAACGAGTCACGAATTGTGGCCTACGACAATTTAGCTTTTTCACTGAAATTCTTTGTTGGAGCCAGGATTGTTCCGTCTAGATCGTCATGGAATTTCCGTGGTCCTCTGCTTAAACAGTGCCTGCTTTGCAAGGCCAAAGCCGCGAACCCCCACAATTTACTACTTCACGTAATATTTTGATCGATTCGACGTCATCCAACAGGTCAAAACGACGTAATGGGTGACGAAATAAATACGTTAAAAGAACGTCATACTGTCAGCTGGGTAGTGTCTCTTAAAAACGTATACATACTCATAAAATATGTATATTATATTTAATATTATAACTACTATTCTACTGACTAGAGTTAAAAAGTAATGTCTCTTAAAAACTCATAAATACTCATAAAATATTATATAACTTGATGCGTAAATACTGATAGTTTAATAAGTTTTGACCAGAGTTGAAAAGTAATTTCTCTTAAAAACTCATAAATACTCATAAAATATTATATACCTTGATGCGTAAATACTCATAAAGTTTAATTAGTATTGACCAGAGTTGAAAAGTAGTTTCTCTTAAAAACCTATAGAATTTGAAAAGTTTGTATCAGAAATTGCTGTTTCATAGGCCCTATAAAATCTCATCAACTTTTATAAGTTTTTATAAGTTTTTTTTTATAAGTTTTTATGCGGGATTTTCAGCAGGGAGGGCCAACATCGGCTAAATAAATCCAATATTGGTCCCAGATAAAATATTGGGCATATATGCGCCCCATATAGGACCAATATTTTGTGCTACTGGGGTTATTTTATTGTATTTATTGTAGTCATTTAAATAGCTTTCACTATTTTATTGTATTTATTGTAGCCATTTAAGTAGCTATCACAAAAAAATGAATAATATGGAGCATTTTAATTTAAATTATTGTTTATGAACTAGTTGGTGTCAAAAATAAAAAAGTGCCATTAATTTCTATATAGAATTCTGTCAAAATTTAACCGCATTTCATCAATAATTATTAGCAATCAGTTTTTAGGCGTCAGTGTAAAGCAACTTATTAAGTCGAGTTCCGGAGAAAACAACTTAACTCTACATTTTATTTTAGTTTCTTCTGTTAGATAACTTTGTAACTAATCAGTGGCGGCTGGTGGATTTTGGGTATACCGATATTATAAGACAAGTTTTGCGCAAGCAGAATTTAAATTAAAGTTTGCGAAAAAAAGATACAAAAATGCTCGGTCGTACTGGCCCCATGGCGCCCCCAATAAATATAATATAAATTTAATTGGTGCAATTTATTATTTACCATAGTTTAAATTTCAAATTTCATTTAAAAAATCTTATACCATTACATTTTTAATATTTCTTTTCAAAGAAATAATAAAAATTTAAAATGATATAAAATAATTTGGATTTTTTAAATAAAATTTGAAATTTGTCGATAAACTATGGGAAATAATAAATTGCACGAATTAAATTTATATTATAATTATTGGGGGCGCCATGGGGCCGGTACGGCCGAGCAAAAAGTTATATTTTTTTCGCAAACTTCAATTTTAATTCTGATTGCGCAGAACTTGTTTATGTAATGTCATTATAAACTCATATAAATTTGGTGTGGGTCCCATATCTAATAATTGAGATATCAGTATACCCAAAATCCACCAGCCGCCATGAAATTTTCATACATAATGGTATCAATTTTACTAAAATTAGAAAAGAAATATTTAGGTATATAATGACCCTATTACAACAAAATAAATAATTGTTATTAATTATCAACTGTTTTGCTTTGATTAAAAATTCCTTTAGGCAATAAAATCATATTGAAATTTATACCAAAAATATGAATGTTAAAGCCAAATTCACGTAAAATTATTTTAGATAACCTTAACACTTTAATTTATTTAATTGTATTTTCAGATTGTTTGCTGGACTCTGTATATTGATAGTAGGAGGATTTATGCAAGTATTTCTCCAGTCATCAATATTTGAAATTATTTTATCTTTTGGTGGAGCACTGGTATTTTGTTTATTTATTGTTTTTGACACTCAAATGATTATTCAAAATTTATCTGCTGAAGAATATATTTTAGCAACCATAACCCTTTATTTAGATATAATAAATTTATTTATATATATATTACGTATTCTTCAACAAGTAAATAACCAATAAAATATTTGTTTTTATGTATGTACGAAGTTTTCAATAATTAAAAACCAAAATTTTGTTTGTATTATTGTTATAATTTTTCAATATTTAAAAACCATAATTATCTTTGTATTGTTATTATAATAATCATAATTTTTAAATAAATATAAGTTTTGTTTGAATATTTCTTTTCTTTCTCCCTACAATAGTTCAGACAAAAATCCTGGTAAAAATTTGGACTAGGAATGTGCGATCCACAAAGAAGAAAGTTATTCCGTATTGTGAAGTATCGATGTACATAACTTTTTTTATTTGTTCAGGTCCTTCACTTTTTTTTTGTAAATATTTCTTTCACGTGTAAAAAGTATCTAGGTATACAAAAACTGGAGGCGGTATGGGTATTTTTGTATGTGCCTCAAACAATAAAACGGTTTTGTTTTTTGCATATTTTATTAGAATAAGGGCAACAAATACAGGGTGACCCATCGAAAACAGTCCAACTAGGTTTACGGCTTTGTGAAAATTAAAAAAAATCTTTGGACCTGTATACTTTCAGGGGGACATGTATATATATAATAATAATAATAATAAAAAAATATTTAAACATAAAAATTACAATGTAAATAATATATAATAAGCAATAAAGTGCTTCTTTTTACAAATACAACAATTATTGTTACTATTAACCGAATTGACTATTTTTGGATAAAGAAATGTTTTTTTTTTCGTGTATAGAATTGAAAGACGGTAAAAATAACTTTGGGAGATCAGTGTAAGGCGGTGCCGATGGGGCCATCCATACGTTCTTATACTCATACTCACTTATACTTTACTTATCCGGTTTATGCAGAGTTGAACCTCTTGCCTCGAGGTGAGGAGCGTCTAAAATGGCGTTACATATAATATACTATTTTTAAAAGTCACATAAAATAAAACTCGATAAACAAAATAAAATATATTAAAACAATCCATATAAACTTGCGTTGAAAATAATTAAGAGTATTTTTTCACCAAATGGCTACATACTAAATCAAAATAAAAATTCCAAAAATTACAACATAGACATTTCAATAAGTGGCATACCTGTTTGATGTCTTTAAAATATTACAAATTCTTTATAAAAATTAAAAATGTTAGTGTTACACAACAATTAAAATTGCAACGAAAACAAAATTAATATTATTAATTTCAACAAGCACACAAGTATTGTAACATACATATAAATAAAGCTAAACTTAACAACTAGTAAGTACATGCATTTACAAATAAATATCTTTAAAATTAGTAGGTTAGACAGAAGATGGGGATCTTATACAATCAGATTTGTGAACGTTTCCATGGACCATTAAATCAAATTCACTACCTGATAGAGATTTACTAATTAATCTATCCCATTGTTCTGGAGTAGCAGGACATTCATTAATATTTTCAAGATTTTCCTTTTTTAGGGTCAGACCCGAATCTAAAAAATATATTTAATATAACAATTGTTAATTAATATTAATATATACAAAATTTAAAAAAAATACGACAATTAGTTTTCGAGTTATTAAGCATTTAACTTAAAAAAAATACCGTAAGATTAAAAATAATTAATTCCCTATTGCAAAAACAATTAAGTTTTTATCGTTTTGTGTTATTTTAAAACGTGTTTTGCTATTGGGATGAATCATTTACAGTTGTATTTCAATTATTTTAAATCTGACTTAGGTTTTTTAATCGGACAATTTTGACGGACAACTGAGACTGTTTGAGTCGGTTTTAATGGACGTTCAATTTTGAAATTGATCAATTAGTAGGGATGAATTGTAAAATAATTTTGAATCGGAGATTTTAAGCAGGGAAACGCTTATGTAAACAACGCATCTACAGCGACTCGAAGTTAAGATGGTTGGCAGATGTATTTTCTGACGGTCCCTGTGTGTATTACACACTGTGTAATGAAGAAGTAACCTTAAAAGGAACCTTGGCCAGATTAAAATACAAATTAAATCTATCCTCAAAATATTAAACTATTAAACATAAAAATAACTTTCAGTTCAGCACACGACATAATATTTACTTACACAAATGTCCGTTTTGAGCTCTAATAGTCTCTTGTTTAATAATAATCTCGTTAGTAATGTAGGCCTCCCGTCTAATTCTATCCATCAAATCACCAGGAATATCCGGTATGCACCATTTAACCACAATCATAACAAAAACAACAAGATTTTCAAATAACACTACAAACAATAAACGTGCTGCTAATATTGTCCAGTATAGTGTGGTCCGTTCATATTTGTTAGGAGACCAAGGTGGTTCTCGATAATCTGGATACCTACAAAATGAACATAACAATGTACGAGCGCTTAAAAGTTTTGAGAGTTTTAAAAAAATAAATCTAACTAATTAAAATGTGTTTTTTCTGCCTAGTATATATATATAAGGGTGTGTCATTTTTGATCAACTTTTTTTTTACTAAAAAACAGGCTAAAAACTTTCAGGAAGGTGAAAAAAGAAGCCTCTAAAAATTTGATGAGCTCTTAATAATAACATGAAGTGGTGCATGTTCCTAACTTTCCATTTCCCATTTAAATAACATGAAAAAAAAATTTTCTTTTTTCTTATATTTGTAGCTTGACATTTAAGCATTGTAAAAACGAACTGAAAAATTATTTTGGTAGGAAATTGAACGCTCTACAAAAAGTTCTAATTTATTTTTTCATAGAGTAAGCCGTTCTGAAGGTATTCAAACTTGCAAATTATGAAATTATGACTTTTATTAAACTAATACTTTTTTATGTCTTAAAAATTATTTTAAGAAAAAATAATTATTTTCCTATAGACGCAAATAACACTTACATCTCAATTATTTTCCATTTTATTTACTATCAAAAAAAGTTATTTGTGTTTAATAAATTTGTTCAATAATTATAATAAATTAAATAAAACAATGAATTTGTTATTGCATTGAATTTTTAATCTATCTTTATTTTTTATAATTTTACCTCAACTAAAGTCGATAACTCTGATAAAAGATTATATCGGCTTAGTCGGTATATTACCTTTCGGATTACATAGTGACTAGAGGCACGCTAACGTGCCACGATTCGAAATGTTAAAGGCAACTTTAAGTTTGAATACCTTCAGAACGGCTCACTCTATGAAAAAATATATTGAAACTTTTTTGTAGAGCGTTCAATTTCCTACCAAAATAATTTTTCAGTTCGTTTTTACAATGCTCAAATGTCAAGCTACAAAAATAAGAAAAAAGAAAAATAAATTCCATGTTATTTAAATGGAAAATGGAAAGTTAGGAACAGGCACCACTTAATGTTAATATTAAGAGCTCAAACTTTTAGAGGTTTCTTTTTTCACCTTCCTGAAAGTTTTTAGCCTGTTTTTTAGTTGAAAAAAAAAGTTGCTCAAAAATGACACATATATATATATATATAGTAAGCACCAAGCTCCCGGCAAACAGTCGGCCTTCGCTCGGGATAGGCGGTTGACCGGCGGTTCGGCAGCATTATTATATTAATATTAATAATTAATTTCCAAATAAGAGAGCATGTATTTGTATTTTTTTTAATAATAAAAACATACCGGCAAAATTCTTCTGAACTAAAATTTCTTGGTGCTGAGCTAATCGGAAAATCGCTGGTTTTAAATGTTGACAAAGAGTTATTTAAGTAACCATGTAAACTCTGATTTTCGCTGACTGTCATTCTATATATTAATTTAGGAATAAAATCTGATGTAAATGCTATTATAAAACCCTAAAAATGATTTGCATGATATTTTATATTTTAGTAAAAAAACAAATCGTACATTTGTTACAACAGACAATTTTCCAATAGAATCCAAAATTCTATACCACACACCAATATCACGCACTCTTTGAGACACCGGTCTTCTATAAAATGTTAATAGTTTTCTAGCGTCCAACCTCATTTCTAAAATGTTGTTTAGTAAGGCAAAAAATGGAGCCAACGGAAATGCTGCTACGAAAATAGTAACAAATCCGTATTGTAAAACTATAAAACAAAAAAAAATATGATATACAACATTGTTAAATAATAAGAATATATAACTAACCCATTTCTAAATATTCTGGAAATAAACTTCTTGGTCCCCATTCCACCAGCTTATAATCCTTTATCCATTGCGACTGAGAACCTTTGGAAGAATAAGTATCCTTTGTTAAACCAGTCTTTACTTTAAGAGTGTTTAGCCATTTATAAAATAAGGGAAATACCATCTCAAGAACTGTATTCATAGCTTGTTTGCCGACCATAATAATACCCAACTGAATACATAATTCCATTAGGCATCCTCCTGGCCCACACTGAAAATATATAATTTTAGCTGGTAATTGTTCAAATTCTTAAATGCATTTATATTTAATGTGATAAGGACCATGCAGCAAATGTATAAAGTAATTTGTAATATCGGGTAGGCCATATATCTTTATAAAGATAGTGGTTTCATCGATTTAATTTAAATCATATGCGGGATCTGTTTTTAAATCAATAAGTGGTCAAAAATTTGTATCGAAATCCGGGTACAAATAACATTATCTAGGTATACCTGCATATATGCACCATCGCATTTCAAAAACTTATTTAAACTAAACTAATTTGTTAAACTTGCTGTCAAATTTTGCTTGGAATAGTAGCCATATTGTGGGTATTTTTGATGCTGTAAACGTCCAGTAAGAAGGAGTTAATTCAGGGCTCCTGGAACGCCATGGAATATCGGTTCTGTACTGGTCTCGAGTTGATCCAGATTCGGATTTTAGTATGCTGTCGTGACGCGTCGCAAAAAACTTCGTTAACTTGTTTTTGGTTTCCATTGAGCAAGAAACCTGTATGCTCAAATTTTCTTACCCACGTCCTAATTATACATTCATAAATAACACAATTTTTAATCATGCAATTTAAAATGTGCATAAATTATTATTTTTGTAAAAAAAATTATACAGAACGCGTTGTGAAACTACCCATTCTGACAAATGATAACTACTATCCCAGCCAGTTTAAAATCAATGATAAATGTAAAACTACTACGACTATAAAGATGAGCAAATGGTAATATTTAAAAAAAAACAATACACAATTACCTCTTCTTGCCGATATCCAAATATTTTGTTATAACTTTTCGGTGAACCTATGAATTTGCCTTTAAAAAAGGCAATATAAAATATGGAAGCATAGTAGTTTACAAATTGTAAGAGATATATTTTTAAAGTTAACGAATCATCAAATTCGGTTTGTGTTCTTAACAACTCAAGTTCAGTTAGATATTCAGCAACAAAGGTGTAAATCTGAAAATAAATAATTTTTTAAACACACTTAAGTAACAGGAAAAACATAAATTACCCAATTAAATACAACAATGCAGCATAAATTAATGCATGCGGCTGTTGCTGTAGTAAATAAAATGGCTGAACTATTATCCACCTGTCCGGCATATACTTGTAGTGCTACCAATAAGGACATTCTATATAAAACTACTGCGACTACAGCTGCCAAAGCCAAAGTAACCTATCATTAGAAAAGTATAAATGCATGAGTATTGTATTGTAATGTATTTACCAAAAGTATAACCACAGAAAAACTAAATATTGTCACAGGTACTCTAATTTTCCAAAAGGGAACATGCGGCTCCATAGTATTGGTAACTAGGTTAATTTGTTTTCGTTTAACATGGGCCAATCTAGCCAAATATTGCGGTCTTGGATGCTCTTCTTGAATATCAAATCCAGTTAAATCCCATCTGTGCGTTATTTCTGCTGAATATCTCTTCCACATTTCCAAAAATAATGTGGCTATAATAAAATATACAATATTAAAACATATTCTTTAGCTCCTAATAAAGGTTTAATAAAAAGCTAGACCATATACGTATAATCGAAAAGGTTCCTTGTAAAAAAATGATAAGATTTTGAATCCAATCAGTTAGTAAATTGTTCTAAAAAAGATTATTAACTACACTAGTCAACATAATAAGGGGAATAAGGGATACAATTACGACAGGTTTTATACCTCTTGGCTGATAAGTTCTTCAAAGCACAACCAGTGATTATTCTAATCATCATTGTAGATTTGTTGGTTGCTCTTGATATAATTATTTTGCAAAATCTGTGATTGATGTTATTTTGTTTTAAATGCTTACTTATTAATTCGTCATTGACATGTCTCAACTGATAAAATAACTGCGGCGTAGGTGGGTTCAGGGAGTTTTGTGTTGCTATTTTTAATTCTTGAAGAGGTTTCTTTAAAACTTTTTATGTTTTTTTTAGCAATAAGTGAGCTTTATTTCTCCTCTAATTCTTTTTCAGTATCAGTATTTGATTTTAGCAAGAAACCTTTTTTGGTTTTTAATATGACATCTTCATTATTGGATGCTACGTTTGACCATCTTTCAGCCATTTCTATTCGTGTTAGTTCAATTTCAGTGTTTATGTAAAATAGGTTTTTAAATGTTTTGTTTATTAATTCTTTAATCCTTTCAGAATATTGATTTTTATGTGGTTTGTTATTGTTGTTTGCTTGGAGAGTGTTGATTTCGGCTGCTTGTAGTAGAGGTAGCGATAGTGGTAAAAAGTAGACTATCGATAGCATCGATAGTGAGAAAAGCGACTATCTATACTATCGATAGTTTTCTAAAATTTCAAAACCATTTTATTAAAAAAATAAGGGGTTTCTTTTTATAGTAGGGACATTTTCAACCTACCAAATACAGGAGAGTCAAAAATATAGTATAGTACATGGAGCCTACACAAGGAGTCCGAACTTGTAAACAAGAATCTTCCTAAGATAAGAGGGCGCTGGTGTTCCGTTTATTCTGAAACAATTGACTAATTTGTACCGAAACGCTACCAAAAGAGCAGACGTCAGTACGCATCGACAATCAGCGCCGCTGGTTGTGAAAAGACTTAATTTGTGCAATTTAGAGGGCAGGTTTTGTCAATTTCCCATATTAAGTTCGGGCTTCTATAGTGTAGGCTCCATGGTATAGTATTTCAATATAAATATCTACCTTAGTTATTAAAACCTTTACATCAAAATCTATAATAACTATCGAGTTTCAAAACATCAACAATAAAATAATTGACAGCACATATTTGAGACAGTTTACCGTTGGTAAATCTAGAGTCCCTAGATTTTGCCAACTAAAACCCCAAATTTTTAATGACGTCAAATTCCGAATAAAAAAAACAACGATAATTATAATAATTTTTTTTTGATTCTACTATCGTTAGACGATAGTTTGCAACTTAAAATATGGAAACTATCGATAGACTATCGTTAATATCGCTAGCTTGTAGATTCGCAGTTTTTTGTAGAGTTTTTTTTTTTGACGGCTCGTTTTTATCTATTCGCTTAACACCGATGATTTCGAGAATTCGCTCTCTCTTCGTCTCACTAAATGAGAGCTCAAAATCTTCTAGAGTATCTCTAGATTTTTTTTGCGTTTTCTTTTTTTTTTCTCCCCTGAGCTTCCCAGTCCATTGTTGCATCCTCCAATTCCGAACTTTCACTTATTTTTTAAGCACTTTTATTGCTGCACGTGTCACAGGCGTGTTTACGCTTTGCAAGTCAACCCGTTACTAATCAAATTTATTTTTAATCAATTTTTGCAAAAATCATAATTTTTTTATAAAAAAAATCTCAAGTTTATTTATTTATTTGGGCAGAATTTTGTAAATCTAAAATAAATATTTTATAAAATTATTTAGATTAAATTGGTAAAGTTAATTTTTTACTATTTAAAAATAGTATCGAGACATTTAAAATAAAAACACATGCCTATATGAAACATTTTCTACTAAAATAGTTTAAAAAGTTCAAAAAATATTTTAAATGTAAAATTCAACAGTAAAAGTTTAAGTTTAAAAATATTGATTTTTAAAAATTGTAGTTTTAATATTTTATTCTACAAAATTATCGGTTTAATTTTGTAAAGAGTCATTTAAATTATAGTCGATCAATTTGTAATACAAAAATTGTGACATTACATTGAAATGTTAGTTTTAAATTTTAAAGTGGTAATTTTTGGATTAAAAATTTATCGATCATTTAAATGACTCTATACAAATTTAAAGCAATAATTTTGTGGAATAAAATATTAGAACTAACATTTTTAAAAATCAATATTTTTAAACTTTACAGTGGCATTTTATATTTGAGTATGAGTATGAGTATGGGAACGTATGGCAGGCCCCAAATACATTATCCTCCACTAATCTCCCAGGGTTATTTTACCCCCTTTTCGTTCTCCTGCGTATCCCGCCAAATCAAAGCATTACCTGTGTTTGTTGGATCCCAAGTTTTTACGCCGGCTGGTAGATCCCTAGGAGATCGTGGATGACAGTGTCTATGGTTAAGGCCGCTCCACGGATTTTTGTCAGCTGGGTCGGGCCATACGTCCAGTTTTGGAAGGGTTTTTGGAGGACATTGAACTGACCCAAAACTAAGTACAATCCGGAATTTTCCTCAACCAGGGCTTTAGTAATAACCCCATTCAGTTGGGATTCCTGAATGGGGGTAGGTGAATTAGTATGCTGCTAGAGCCTTTCCTTGATGGTGTACTTCCTGTTCATCGCTGTCCGAGTCGGATTTCGGTTCCTGATAGCCGCTTTAGAATTGTTTGCCCCCCTGTGCGATATTGAGTCTTATCTTCAGAACCGAAGTGTTGCCGGCCGCACCCCGACGTAATTAGTGCCCTCTGACTATGTGGAAATTCGGCCCTTCATGACGAGAACCGACTTCATAAGCAACTGTTTTTCCCGCCTTTGTTTAACCTACTGAAATTGTCAATACCCTCGAATTATTTTATTTTTTTTACACTGTGCGTGATCCCCATTCACTTGTGGTTGGGTCCATCTTTGTGCCTCACGGTGCGGCTATTTATTTACGCTTGTACCTAATTTATGGTCCACTTAACGTCTTAGTAATCTATAGTTGTTTATTTCTTTAAGATGGTTTCTTTTGCCTAATGTTTATCGTAACTTGAGTGATTAATGGCTTCTTATGTGCCCTTGTGTTTATAGTTTTTTTGACTATGTTACATTTTTGCATGAGAATCTTGGAAATTGTTTGCGACTAATTAATTTTACCTGAAGAATTATTATTAGTTAAGGGTTGCGTATTTCGTATTAACTAGTATTAATATTATTGGGTATTATATATAATACCCATTCATCTATAATCTGAGATTATATTATTAATAGATGAATTTCTGATTTATTAAAATCAACTTTATTTTTAGATTATTTTATATTACATTTTTTTGTAATATCTTGATAAAGCAAAAATGTTTATTAAATCTAATTTTTATTTTTTTTTCTTAAATTCTTACAAGGGTTGTAGGTACCTTGTAACACATATGTGTATCTTTTTGAGTAGAGTTTCTCATTTGTTTTGATAATTTATTATTATTGAATCACCATATACTGATGTCATTTTTGCTTTCTTCAATTTAATTTTTAATTCAAAATGTATACAATTCTCCTTCTATATATGTTAAATAACTAAAATTTTATAATTATGTACACTCTTAAATAAATAAAAAAAATTGAAAAAGAGAGTGGTTTGGCACTGGGTATGTGGGTGGGGCCTCCTCTCTCTTTTTTTTTTTTATATATAATACCCAATAATATTAATACCATATATGGTCATGCAATTTTGGTAGCTACTTATCTAATTTATGCAAAATTGGACTTCGGGATAATTGCCAGGCAGGTGTGCTGAAATTGATCCTTATCGCATGCCGCCCGCACGTGTGGTAACCCAGGAAATTTTCATTGGAACTGATCGTCTTTCTCACACCTTTTAACCAGGTCAAACACTTGAGGACTTAATCCAGGGGGAGGTACCACACACAATTTGCACTCTTTTGCACTTGGGACAGTTATCACGTGTAGAATTGATATTGATTTTTTTGTTAGTTTACGGCGTTAACCGGGGTCCTCCCGCACTTTTCGCACTTGTTGCACTTTTCGCACTTGTTTGTTTATTTATTTATTTATTTATTACCGATTACCGATATTTCCGGTATTTGGTACTTTACTACGTTTGTATCGTATACGCTGCTTAGGAGGGTTCTCGTTAACTATCTTAGAGCGTCCTACCACTTCAAGAGTCAAGACCCAACTGACAGTGGCATTTTATATTTAAAATATTTTTTATTTATCAATTGTTTTGAGTTTAAAAAAATTTAAATTTGTAAATTTTTGTTAAAACATCATTAAATGAGCACTTCAAACTAATATCTAATAAATGCAAAAACGGAGTGCCATAGAACCCAGGACATTTCAACATAAAATTTTTGTTTAAATATACGTAAAATTTTGGCTAGGGTACTAAGAAATAATATTGCATTATTAGTTTTATACTGTCTGAGAAATTAGTAAAAACAGTTTTTGGCCGGAAAATGCATTAAAATTATAGTACAAAATAAAATGTTAAATGATGGGGATTGTACAAAAATTATTTTTCATCAAAAAAATGTAATGACTTACCCCAAAAAGACATAAATATGGCGAAAAATACAGTAGTTCCATTATCAAAAAGATAAGTAATTTTCGCATGAACACATGTTTCTTTTAAATCCCAATAGTCACACCAATAATCACATAAAGGACACATTTTGGTTGTTAAATTTAAATTACAAATATCTTCACTAAAAAGTAATACTTAATATATTGTCACATACCATAATAGTTACCTACTTATTTTATCTTTTAACTGTAATAACAGTTAAAATATTATACAGTGCTTGCAAATCCAAGTCCGACCGGTTTGGGAAGGACGCATGAAAATAACAAGGATAGAACGCCAAACAGAAGGCGCTTACAATACGCACGCCTGACGCTCTGACCAATCAAATTCTGTTTGGCATTCTATCCTTATTCTTTTCACGCGGGTATTGAACAACCATCCTTCCCAACGCGGTCGGACTTGGATTTGCAAGCACTGTATAATGTAGTATAAGTATTAGGGTGGTCCTTAATAAGGTTATTTTCAAATTTCTTTGCTCCCAGGGGCTCAAATACTTCCAAATTGATAAAAAAAAATTCCCTGAAAATTTGAGCTCTTAATATTAACTCTAAGATAGTGCGCATTCCAATCTAAGTTTCCTATGGAAATAACATAGGAAAAATTACTTTTGTTGTTTATAATTTTATATCTTGGGAACGAATGAATTAAAAATTATAAATCATACATATTTTTATAGAGAATTTAACGCTCTACAAAAAAGTTCTCCTATAATTTTTCCATTAGTATATTGGTTTAAAAGTTATTCAACGCCAAAGTTTAATTTTCATATTATTATTAATATTATCAAGGCTTTTTTATGAGGCGCCGTTTGTGTCAAAATTAAAAGTGCTAAATAAACTTATTTTGTTTTATAAATAATTAATTATATGCTTTACTAAATAATTTTTTTCTAAAATTATTTTTTTTTTAATTATTTTTTTATAAAAAAAATTTTTTATAAAATAATTTTTTTAAAATTTTTTTTTTCTAAAAAATTTTAAAAAATAATTTTTTTATAAAATAATTTTTTTATAAAATAATTTTTTTTTATAAAATTATTTTTTTTTTGATTTTTAGTTTTGTTTTAAGAGAATTGATTTATTTATTTTAATTTGTTTTCAAGAGAATTATTTTATTTATTTATTTTAGTTTTTAACAAGTGCTTTCTTATAAAAAACGTTTAAACATAAAGAATTCTTGTTAAAAACTAAAAATCAAAATAAATGTAGATAAAAAAATTAATGAATTAATGAATAAAAATAATAAATTATTATTTTCAATCGTTTCCCCAAATTGCGTCAAACAAAAGCCCAGTCCGTCATAAAATTGTATCTGGGGAGGGGCGTTCGGGTTTACTCGGGTTTAGGGGCCGTTCATTAATTACGTGAGGTGTTTAGGGGGGGAGGGGGTCGAGCCAAACCTCACCAAATCTCACGTGGGGGGGAGGGGGTGTCTCGGCAAATATCACGTAATTTTTTTTTACGAAAGAAAAAATTTAAAATTGCTAGAAAACTGGGTTAAATTAAGTAAACAATTATAAGCAAATTGTTTTTTTTAATAAATCTAATGGAATTAAGCACAGATTAACTTATTTACATTAAAACCATGCATTTAAAAAAATCTCACGTGAGATTAAGGGAGGGGGGAGCAAAATCTCACGACATCTCATCAAGGGGAGGGGGGGGGGGTCGAAAAATCGCCAAAATTGTCTCACGTAATTAATGAACGGCCCCTTACTCGAGTGTCTACAAACAAATAGAGATGGCTGCAGTAAAAATTAATTTATAAATGCGCCCGTCGTCTTTTATTAAATAATTTTTAATTCGAATTGAAAATTATTTTATAAATTTTTTTACAAAAAAAAAATTTATCAAAAAATTATTTTATAAAAAATTATTTTATAAAATTTTTTACAAAAAAAAAATTATAAAAAAATAATTTTATAAAAAAATTATTTGGTAAAGCATATAATTAATTATTTATAAAACAAAATTGACACAAACGGCGCCTCATAAAAAAGCCTTGATAATATTAATAATAATATGAAAATTAAACTTTGGCGTTGAATAACTTTTAAACCAATAGACTAATGGAAAAATTATAGGAGAACTTTTTTGTAGAGCGTTAAATTCTCTATAAAAATATGTATGATTTATAATTTTTAATTTATTCGTTCCCAAGTTATAAAATTATAAACAACAAAAGTAATTTTTCCTACGTTATTTCCATAGGAAACTTAGATTGGAATGCGCACTATCTTAGAGTTAATATTAAGAGCTCAAATTTTCAGGGAATTTTTTTTTATTAATTTGGAAGCATTTGAGCCCCTGGGAGCAAAGAAATTTAAAAATAACCTTATTAAGGACCACCCTAATAAGTATACATAATTGTAATATTGCATAAAACAAATATTAATATTATAATTATACCTGGGTTTATCCAAATATAAAGTGGATACAGAAAATATAAAACAAGCTAGTCCCATTATTGCTGCTGGTAATAAAATATGTGTATAATATCCCAGCCAAGCAAAATATAAAGCAATTTTTACTCCAAAATATTCCTTAACATAATCCAATGGTTGGTATCTGTACCATTTGGAAATAGAAGCCCATTCGTTATATAATAAGTTTCTTATAGAACCAGGATTACGCAAGTCGCCCTAAAAAATTGTTTGTCTAAGGAATTTGTATGTATGGCTTATTTGTAATTTTTAAAAAAATAGCGTTTACATACATCATGTAAGGGATACACAGCGGTATAAACTTTTTCATTTAACAACCTTTCCATTCCAAATCCGAAATCATCGTTGATATTTTCGCTAAATCGTTTTCTATCCAAAATAAACTGAACTATTCGGGAGTGTATTGCTGGTGTAAAAAAACATGGAGAATCAACGTCGAACCTAAAATATGCTTTTCTTAATAATGAGGCACTAAAATAGTTATTTTCACACACATATCAATTTAAGCACAAAGTAGGTATATGACCATTAAATAAAAAATTTGAAAAATTATCTTATCTGATGAGTTTTTGGACAGTAGCTTAGCTTAAGGAGGCAAAGCGCGACACACCTCCACCTATCTGCCTCGACATCAGCGATTTTCATTTAATTTGACTAAACAATTGTACATATATACAAGGTATGTACTGTATGTGTAAAACATATTTATTTTTTGACAAAACTTTGAAGTTATATTTTAAAAGATATAAAATAATAAAGTAGGTTACGATTTAAAATCATTTTTGAATTTTTTTTTATTGGTTAATATTAAACTTGTAAAGTTTTGAATATATATTTTTATCACTACAAAAATGTACAATGATTTCAATTAATGCAGTTCAGACAGTAAATTAATGAATACAATCTTTAATATAAGCACTCTTGCATAACAACCTGTGATTGTTTTTTTAAGATTTCTTTTATATGTTTCAAAAAAAGAATTTTTAATTAAAAATAAGAATAACATTTCCGTAAGTGATAAACTAACAACCTCATTTTTCTCAGTGTAGACAACCTATAAATCAACTTAACCAAATAGAAAAAGGCGTAAGAGTAAATAAACCAAATCAAGCAGGAACGACACAAAATTTAGTGTTGTGAGTGTGTAATATATAATATTATATTGTATGTATATGCATTTAAACATAAACATTAACTAAGATACAAGCCCATAAATCAAAGCTTAAAATAAACAAAAGCCTAAAAGTAAACAACATAGGCAATGCCTGCCATAGGGCATTATTCCAATTATGTACACTTCAGGGCCGGCTCTATCTATTTTGTATATTAATATTTATATTTTTAAATTAAATTTGAAAAAAAAAGTAAGAATGCAAAGATATAAATTAAATGTAAACGGCATAAACACTAATTTAACAATAAAATAAATAAAGAATATACAAGGTCGGTAGCCGGTACTCGGCATGAGGAATATCCAAGAAGGCAGAGGGCACTTACTGTATATCAATATACTTTGGTATTTTTAATATTTAAAATTGTTACAACTGTTCAATGCCTTTTTTATATTACATTCGCCGCGACAACTATAATTATAAATTTACAAATTTTTGACGAGGTAAATAAATAAAAAAAACCAGACTGTAGGTACTAACATATGTACGTACGTACATATATAGCAGTAACTGCTATATTTCTTAATAATAATTATATATTTACTTACAGATATTCTTTATCACGACTGTATATGGCAGTGAATCGATGTCCCTTCTCTGGAAATTTATCGGTATCGACAAACAATATACTTTTTACTTTATCCCATGAATTGGTAATCCCATCTATTATAAAATTGGTTTTTGTGTGGATTTGATTAAATGCTGGTAACTAAAAATATTGTACAAATATATATAGGCATTTTGTAAATGAAAGGGATAATAATTTATTTTATTCAAAAAAAAGTCGGGTGCAATGTTATATACAGGGTTTTTCATAACTTATTCAAAAAATGTCAGGTGATTTCCAAATGTAATTTAAAAATTTTTTATTATAACCATATTTAAGCCCGCAGTACCAACCTGGTCAGATAATTGATTGAATTGTGTAAGGACTTAATTTGGTTTAATATTTCTGTAATGCAAAATTCTGGTTTAAAAAATAATTTTAACCCAACCACAACCTAAAGTTTTTTGGATGAGTTGTAAAACGCTCTGTTTAGATAATGATTAAATAAACCAACAAACAAATTTTAATTTAAACAAATAAAGGTCAGTGCATACAAATTCTGAATTTCACCCAATTGTGTTGCTAAAAGTATTATTTTATTTAGTTTTATATTGAAATACTTTTTGGTAGGTACCAGTTCACTAAATACTCAAGTCATAATGGCATGTAGCACATGTAAATAAATGATTTTTAAGTTTCTATTCGAAAACCGTTAGTCGGACAAAAAAGTTCAGTGAGTTTGCAAATATAAAAATATTCAAGGGCTTGTAGTGTGGACGCCACTGGTAGAACAATATTTTGATCACTTTTTGACGTTTCTAAACACCAATAGGAAATATCAAATTCCGTCATGTGTGTATGTTTTAATTAATAAAAACTTAATTATAGTGGGAATAACCTACTCTACATTATTTTCGCGAAATAATATAACATGTATCAAAACCCAACAAAATTTTATAATAAACGTTAAAAAAGAATCTTTTAAATACCACTCGAGAGTTCAATTAATTAGAAAATAATTCTCCAGAATATTTCTTAAACTTGTTGTCACTAGGATATAGCCAGACAAAAAGTTTTCGGAACATGTGTCGAATTATTTTTAATTTATTTTCACTCTCTTGTGATATTAATGTTAAAAAAATATATAAAACGGATTCAAATCTAAGAAAAACGAAAAACAAAATAAAGCGTTTGCGGACCTAAGTTAATTTTATTTTTTCATTATAATCATCGAAGGATTGAGCCCATTCAGTATCCAACTACGAAATACCCTATTACATGTAGTCCAAACAATATCAAGCAACACTATTGGGCAAATTGCTATGGAATGAAAGGCAACACAAAAAAACAATTAATCCCCACTGGCAATGCATATTATTTTGTAAACTGTACATAAAGTTGTTGTTTTTTTATGAACTTTTACAGCGTCAAAAGTTTAGGAGTGATGAAATTTATTATTTTTATTTATGCAATTTTCATAATTAAACTTTAATAATTTTTTTAAATCATATTAAAGAACTTGTACATTTCCTATTTTAAAAAAGTTGCTCAGTATTAAACTGTGGAGAAAATTGATTTCTTTCCCCACGGTTACTGTCTAATGAGACGACGAGATTTTAATTTTCTCCACGGTAGTATTTATCATTACTAGAACTATTGTACGGTGGTTCATTATTTTTTTTTAAATCAATTAACGCTGTCATTTCTCATCGAATCAGTGGTTATGATAATAACACAAAATTGTACTTCAGTCTATAAAAAATTAGAAAAAGTATATTGTTCAACTCTTGAGAAATGTCCATTTTCATTCGGATGTGTTTGTCCTATTGTATACTAGTCCTTCGGAGGGGCCCGCGGTCCGTTCCTACCCCTAACCCGCTTAAGCCATTCAGTTGGCTTCTGGGACTTCTTAGGAAGTAAGAGTGGAACTAAAAGAGCACTTTTGTATAAACTTTTCTATGAATTACTTATGGAAATGGCCAACTTTCTCAATCGTTGAACAATATACTATTGTTGTATTGCAATGAAATAATTGTTTCATAGCGGCTCTATTGAAAATCTGATTTTCAGTACCAGTGAAGCAGGTTTAAACTGGAAGTTTCAACCCTAGGGTTGAAAATTTCACTTAACCTCACATTATTATATAACGAATGTCAAATATGTCAGATCTGGCATATTGAATATTTTATATTTTATGAGCCTATCTCAAATCGAATTTTTTATGAAGTTGCTATGAAAAATAATATGCATTATCCGGAATTTAACACAACGATCGCAACTCGTGTAAGTGCATCCCTCACTTCGCTCGGACAGCAAATTTCAGACTTATTGCAATTAGTGAAGCTTCGGCTTCGGCCACCTTCGGTCAAGAAAGCACATTATGTCGCACATTCGGCTTCGGCCAAAACCAGCCGAAGGATTTTTGCCGAAGCCGTCCACCTCCGAAACTGAACGAAAGAAATATAACGATAAGAGCCGAATCTTCGGCTTCGGCCAAAAACTGACATTCGGTCGGACACTAATTGCAATCACTGTGTTTTATTTCTTGTAAATGCAATATTCTATTACGGCTGCGGAACTAAGTTGATATGATTTTTTCCAAGGAGCCCAGTACGGTACTGGCAATACCAGAGATGTTGGGAGAACGTTTAACAGAGGATTTCTTAGTAAAAAATACCGGATTTCGTTTTCAAAATAACAGGGTGTTAAAAAATTTCAATTTTATTAATAACTTTTGAGAACAAGATAATGTTTTAAGACTGGATCATGACATACTCGATTCTATTTACCTATGTATGTGGATAAACTTCTATTTACTAAAGGTACTTACGTACCTACGTAAAAACAGAAAGAAAAACAAATAAAACGTAAAAGATAATATTATATACATATATACATATAGTCGTCGCGGCGAATGTTTCAAATTGCGTAATCAATGTCGAATGTCAAAAACCGATTTCTCGACATACGGTTAACCTACCGGTTACTTGGATTATATACGTAAAAGAAAACAACAATAATTGTAATGTCTGTGCTTGGTTCAGAATTTGATGACGCAATTTGAAACATTCGCCGCGACAACTATACATATTATGTAGGTATACATATGTACAGCACAGGGTAACAATTTTAAAACGAACAACACTTAATATTTCCTTAACTGATGACACTATAACAATTTGGCGAAACACGTCAATTTACATATCAAGGGGACAACTAATAAAATGCTTACCTTTATTTACATTTTTTTATTAAAAACAATTTTTTTGTGCATTTTTTTTATTTTGCTACATCTTATATAATTTAGATGTGATAAGTGCAGTTCGTATTTTCGTACGCCCGGTGTAAGTTTATTAATTTGATTTGCCGAATCGATTAGTAAAAATAAGCTATAGTAGTTGGTTGTTTTTTGTATCCTTTTCTTAAAATGGTTTACACTATTGCAGAACGCCTTGAAATGAATTTTATTTATGGAGCGGAAAACCGTTGCTTCACAAGAACGGCGGTCATATTTAATGATCGACATCCAGAAAGAAATGTTAGACATAAGTACATCCGAGATTTAGTAGCTAAATTTGAAGAAACTATCTGTTTGGAATAATAAGAGGAATTAGCCAAGATTGGTCAATGAGATCGCTCAGATTAAAGTTCTGCCAAAGGCAAATGGGCAATTCTTGGCCAAATTTAACCTGTGGGCTCTTTGTGTACCACCTGTTATTAGTTTAAGAATATAATAATATATTTATATTTTAAATTATTATACTAATTATATAATTATTATAATAATAACACAAGAGCCATTCCACGCGTGACGGATGGGATAGTTGCCGTGTTTTTATTTACAAAATAATGTTGTTCTATTGTATTGCCAATGTCAAATTTTTATAAATGGTTCTAAACTGGAGCTGTTTAACAAGGTTTTTATTTGGCAAAATTGGGTATCGTGATTGACTGTCCAATTCCTTAAAAACTAATAATTTAAAGCGTAACGGTCGGGACTTTGCAATAGTCCCGCCCGTTACGCTTTAAATTATTAATTTTTAAGGAATTGGACAGTCAATCACGATACCTAATTTTGCCAAATAAAAACCTTGTTAAACAGCTTTTGTTTAGAGCTATTTATAAAAATTTGACATTGGTAATATGGTGGAACAATATTATTTTGTAAATAAAAACACGGCGGCTGTCCTATCCGTTAAGCGTGGAATGGCCCACAAACAACCTTGCTGTACAATTTTACAAAATATGTTTTATACTATAGGTTAAACATTTAAATCAAAGCATTAATCTACCTTATTTCTTATATACGAAGACGTATTTTGAAAAAGATTATTTCGAAATTCTCTTTGTACTTTACTTAACTCCTAAGGAATATAATAACTATTAGAAATAACAACTTTCTCGATTTTTAATTATAAATAAATGAAGAGCTACTCTGCGAAACGCAGTTTTTTAATAAAATTATTATTTTTAGAATTAAGAAATCTTTGCAACACTCTCTTTATTATTATGGAAATAAATTTGAGTTTATGTAAACAATGTAAAAATAGAAAACTGCGAAAATATACCATACGTTCGTTGTCAAAATATAGTGATTTTTTTTCGTTACTTTATCTCTTCGAAAAAATAAATAGTACGTTTTGAACTGAGCATTTTTTTAAAACTGCGTCTTGCAAAGCAGCTCCTTAAATAATACACAATGAATTAGCATAACCATAATATATTATAACCCTATAATATATTTTTTTCAAGCTCCTTTAATTTTTGTGAAAGAATCTGACCTCACAACGTCTTTAAATATTAGGTGTTTTCGCGGTGCTAATCCCGAACTAGTTCGGACATCCTAGGCATGCGCATTTTAATATTAATATTGTCATGCCCACTTTACATTTTCAACCCCAAATTTTAAAAAGCGCATGCCTAGGATGTCCGGAATTAGTTCGGGATTAGCTCCGCGAAAATAGCAATTATCAATTTAAGAAAAGTTAAATATAAAATTAAGAAGAGAGTGGTTGAAGTAAAAATAGTTTATTTTTGTAGTTTTTGGGTTTCTAACAATAAATTATACAAATTTTCAACATTTCCTAACAAAAAAATTTTCTTTCATTTTGGAATACTCTTGTATGGTTAATAAGGTGCTATATAAATTTGTACATATTTTTAATTAACTTAATGTAATTAATGGCAAAATCATTACGTTTATGTTTCATTCCGATTTCCAACAAAATCGTATACGATTCAAGGGACTCCTCGACGATCCAACGGCGCAGTAAGATTGAAACGTACATTTTTTTAAATCGGAAAGGACATATTATGGCTATATAGCTTAAAGCTGGCCATAGACTAGCATACAATGACAATTGTACTGCAGCTTTAGATCGAGTCAGACATGTCTGCATTTGATTTTGAAATAAAAATAAAATCAAGAAAATTACTTAAATAATAGTTTAAGAAATTAACTAATTTTAATTTATATTTTAACTCACCTTCTTCATTGGCATTCTCATTTTAAGGATTTCTGTATATCTTCTTAATACCTCAATAGGAGCATGTATCTAAAAGATTTATTAGTATTAAATTTTGTTTAACCTAAATCGCGCACGTTATTTAAAAAACTATTTTAGTACACGATTTCGATTGATTATTCTTTATATCATTGATTAAGAAACTCAACGCTTAAATGCTTATACCTATACTAAATATATATATATATATATATATATATAGTTACGTTAGTGTGTGTATTTTATCTAAGGGATCATGGTGATATATTGTGTTTTTAATTGTAAATAAAATTCAAGAACTAAATCGTTGCTTTGTTATCTATGGTTGCATTTTCATGTTTTGCCAAAGAAGCGAATTCGGTAAGTAGGTACATTTGTTGGTGCAGAATTAACCAATGATAACTTTACCTCATATAATTTATATATAAGTTTGGACATTTTTAAGAAATTAGTAAAAAATAATTTTTGCACAAACATAACCTTAAAATCAACCATTTTTATATTTTAGTTCTCTAAAAAACGCCGACAACTGCATTTTAAACAACAAAATATACCTACGAATTTATGGCAACATAATATTATATATAAAACATAATATAATGGTATTTTACCGTTGAGTGGAGACTCTTAATCAAGGCTTTTAATAATGCTAAATGCTGTTTAAATTTAGACGACTTATTTGTTTGACGATTTTTACTGAAATGAAATGTCACATTTGACATATTATTTAAAATTTGAAAATCGTTATCTAAAGGAGAAACAAACAAACAAACAAACTTCCAGCTCGCCCGTAAAGATTCATTTACAAAGGTTGACAGGTAAATAACTATTAAAAGGCCGCAATATAATAATAAATCAAATATATATTAGTAATTATAATCTTACTTTTACCTTTATAAAATTTAAACCATTTTTTTCTTGATTTTCATATTGCAATTCCAGACCATCTTTTATTAAATTAGTTTCAAAAATTCTTCTTTTTGTATATGATGCTTCTGTTGTAGCATCTTTATCAAATCCATCCCAAACAAGTATAAAATCTACAGATCTAATTCCATCAGAAAAAAATATGTTTGGCTTTGGACATTTTATAGGATCACAGTTTGAATATTTAGCTTTTTGACTAGAAAAGTAATTTGAGGTAGTTCCTTGAGATTCACAACCACAGTTTTGTATCATAATTTTAGGTTTTTTCTTTGGGTTTTCAATTAGATCCCTTAAAATAAATTTAAATTATTATAAAGCTATAAAAGTATAATTGTACTAATAAAGGAAACTGACCAAATACGGAATAGTGCTATAATATGAGTAGAAGCCAAGGCACTAGTAAATAGCCAAAACAGCAATGAGTGCGAGAGAGAGAGAAAGAAAGTATATTAAAGTAAGATGGCACGAGATCTTATCTAATTTTATGTTAAAAAAGCTAGTAGCCTATTAAGAGAATTTATTACCTCATTAAATAATATTTAAAACAAAAAGCTTTTAGGCATATTTGGTGTTTATCTTATTTTATTGCTGTTATTTATTAATTGCTTGTAGATACATATTTTAAATATTTAATTGCCTTAACAAGTAATATTTATAATAAAAAGCATTTAAAAACATGTATTTTTTAAATAACAGAAATAAAATTCACGTGGACGATGCTTCTATATAAACACATAAGCCTAAAAGCTTTTTGTAATAAATAGGTAGGCCAAAAATTTGATACGCTATAAGCTTTTTGACAATAATGAGCAATACATCACCTCTTATCAGACAGATAGAGTGATAAATAGATATGCTAATAGCTTTTTTGATATTAATGGCCAATAAATTGGATACGATCTCGTGCCGTCTCACATTCATTTACTCTCTCTTGACCCACCTGCTAGATAATAGGTAATTTATTGCCTCATTAAATAATATTTATTACAAAAAGCTTTTAGGCATAACTATGTGTTTACCTAGAAGCATCGTCCACGTGAATTTTTTTTCTGTTATTTAAAAAAAACATGTTTTTAAATGCTTTTTATATATTACTTGTTAAGGCAATTAATAAATAACAGCAATAAAATAAGATAAACACCAAATATGCCTAAAAGCTTTTTGTTTTAAATATTATTTAATGAGGTAATTTTTTTTTTTATTGATGTACATAAACCTAAAGAACCCATTGTGGGTTATAACAGGTACATTTTGTTTGTTTGTATATTAATAAATGTAATGTGTAAAACAATGTGTATATATATATATATATATATATATATATATATATATATATATATATATATATATAACTGTATAAATAGATAGAATATAAATATAAATATGTAAATAAATGTCTCGTTTATATCACAGATCCTTCCTAGTACTAATTATATGCTGGACTATCATAAATTCTCTTAATAGGCTACTGGATATTTTAACATTAAATTAGATAAGATCTCGTGCCATCTTACTTTAATATTGCTGTTTTAACTATTCTCTAGTGCCATTTCTCCAAAACTAACTCAAAACAATTTCTATCTTATTCACTCACATTAGTATCACACTCATTCCATCTGGTCAGTACGTCATGCGGTGCCGTTGGGGCAGAAGTGGTTTATTTTTTAGGCGATAGAAAATTTTCCAAACTATTTTTCGGTAATTAAAAATAATAATATGAATATATATTTTAGCATGTTGTATTTATGTTGTTGTTTGTGTTGTTATTTGTAAAAAAGAAAACAAATTTAAACAAAAACCGTAACTGAATGGTTCATAAATTAATTTTATAATTTTCTTATTTACGACTTAAATATAAATGATTTTAAAAAATTTGGAGATTCCCGGACAACAATCGGGATTTCCTGGTGAAGTCATGATGATATCACAACGTGATTTTTTTTATCACGCTGTGATATCCTGAGTGCATACACATGCTTCAGCACAGTGATATTATGTAGAACTCACGGTGTGATATTTGCAAAATTTGCGCGTGCGTATGAGCCCTGCGAACTGCGAATTTAAAACCTAGTTTGTTATTCACATTACAACGTTGTAATTTATAAAACGTTGTTTGAATATCACGAATGTTGTCCGGGTTCAATTAAAAAAAGATATTTCAATGTTTAACAAAACGTGAACGTTTTGTTAAACATTGGAATATCTTTTTTAATTGAATGACAACATTCGTGATATTCATACGAACATCATGTCGTGATTTTCACAAATTTTATTCATACTGATATCATACGGAAGTAACCGCGTGATAAATGAAAATCATGTCGTGATTTTTATGCCATCGCTGTTTGCGATTGACCGATGGCCTAAAAAATCATGTCGTGATTTTTTATTCTAACGGTGTTTGGATAATCATTTTTGCGCCACGTTCGTACATTGTGAGAAAATGTATGTTAATCCAAACACCGATGGATGATTTTTATGCTATCGGTGTTTGGGCATAAAAAATCACGAAATGATTTTTTATGCCATCGGTGCACCGACAAGTTGGAATGTTTATTTTTGCGCCACATTCGTACATTGAAAGAAAAAGTATGTTAACAATTGAATTAACAGTTTTTTGCAGTTAAATACATTTAATATTTTCTTGGATGTAAATTAACTATAAATTTAAATCCAAAAAAATATTGAATGTATTTAACTATAAAAACTGTTGATTCAATATATATGTAGGTAAAAGTATACTTTTTCTCTTAATGTACGAATGTGGCGCAAAGTATGTTAACAATTAAATTAACAGTTTAACATTCAATATTTTCTTGGATTTAAATTAACTATACAAGAAAATATTAAATGTATTTAACCGCAAAAACTGTTGATTCAACATAATTTTTCTCTTAGTGTACGAACGTGGCGCAAAAATGATTATCCAAACACCGTTAACATAAAAAATCACGACATGCTTTTTTAGGCCATCGGTCAATCGCAAACAGTGATGGCATAAAAAATCACGACATGATTTTCATTTCTCACGCAGTGACATCCGGATGATGTCCGTATGAATAAAATTTGTGAAAATCACGACGTGACGTTCTTATGATTTTCATTTATCACGCGGTGACTTCCGTATGATATCAGTATGAATAAAATTTGTGAAAATCACGACATGATGTTCGTATGAATAACACGAATGTTGTCCGGGTTGCTGTAAACCATCCGTATATTTCTACGTGCAAAACGAAATTTATTAGTCTTTAAATAGTAGTTACCCAATATTGTTACATTCCTGGGTTACATAACAGTAATAATGTGTCATGTTATATATGTTGACTGGGTACAGTGTATTATAATATAATTGCAAATATCATGATATTGTGTATAAAAAATATAATTAAAAAAAACGTTGTCTCCTTTTGCCCTGGACACCTATATTGAACTGATATTTTATTTTTAACTTTCCCCATGTTTTTTGAAATGTTGTAAATACGTAATTTAAAGGAAAAAATATTACAAATTAGGTCCAATTCTTTTCCAGGGCAAAGTTTCTCAATAAAGACCCTATAAAGAGCAACAAATCTCGATTCTATAGAGTTTTCCGGAAACTCTCATACAATAAAAACCATTTGACACCTTTAGGCTCACTTTTGGTAATCCTAAAAAGACAAAACCCATTTATAAAGCAGTAAAATTATGTGTTTTGCTAGCAATACATTTTTTGAAACGATTTTATTATTTTAAGTTGCAATTTTTTTAAAAACCTACCTTTTGCCGAGGGATAAACCACTGATTTTTAAAAATTAAAAATCGCTTACGATTTATAGGCCAAGGATCACAAGGGTAGTCATGCGCAACGAGTCGCTAAGAGAAATTTCTTATTAATAAGGATTTTTCCTTATTGATAATGACTGATAAGGAAACACAAAGTACACATATTATTAAACATTGGTCTCGCTGATTTTAAAGTGGTTTACCCCTCGCCTTTAGCTTTATTTTACTGTATATATATAAATTAAATCACCTTGTAATTTAAAGAAGAAATTTTCTAAAAAAAACAATATTACTATCCAAATGCAAGAAAATGTTTCACTTAAGGCCTTACTAACAGATAAAAGCTTGATACTATATTACTTTCCTGGTAAAATTTTAAATACTTAATTTTAAGTTTTTGGCCGTCTTTTGGAGTTTTCATTCCACAGTGTGGTGGTTTAGTAGACTCTTCTATTACTTAGTGTACATTTTTGCAAAAGAACAAAATTTAAAAAATGGACTTAATACCCTTTGGCTTTAAGGTCCAGAGTTGGTTTTAAAGTTTTGAAGCTCTTATAATTTAAATAGACAAATAATTAAATATATTTTTTATCAAATTTTTAGTTGTGTTGAACTGAAGTTAGGGATGGTGTGCAGGTATTTTCCTGATGCCCCATGTTCCAAATTAAAAAATAGGAAACTTTCAAATCCAAATTGGACTGAACTATAAAAAAATCCTTCATTGGCATAAATAGTTACTTAAACTAAACTTACTGCATTGTATCCATGTCTTTATCGAGGTTATTTGCACTTTGATATAAGCTTAAGACAGACATTGCAGACAAATCGGCTTCTTCATCAATTATGTTGTGTTTTGTCAGATCATTTTTCTGAAAACAATTATTAGATTTTCCTTCATCCAAGGAAAATAATTTTATTTGATTTAAATTATCATACAAACATGAATATTTAAATGGTAAATATAATTTATTTTCAGTCATGCTTTATCACTACAACTATAATAATTCTGATATACTAAAATAAAACATAATACCAAATTAGAAACAATTGATCCAGTCGTTTAAGTTAAGCTTAGGCTTAAACTGCACTTAACTAAGAAATTTAAACAGCAATTGTACAAGCGGGCCTAATATTTATTTTAATAATTATCTACCTTTAAATTGCATAATAAACTATTTTTTAAATTAAAGTGATTTTTTATAAATAATTTCTATTAGGTTATGAGTAAAACGAGCATTTAAACTACCTGATTTAAAACAATTGAAATGTTAATTTAAAATTTCACATGGCTTTTTTGGTTTATGAAAATTTATTTTTAATTGCATTTTTATTTTGCTAAAATAAATAAATAAATAAATTGCCGGCTGTAATTCTTTATATTTCGACAGAGCCACAGATTATAAAAGAGAGCTAGCAACACTGTAACACTTGTAAAATAGATTTGATGCATTTGAACTACGGGTAATGATTACAGATAAAGGTAGGTTATGTTCTATTTTGTGAGTAAATTTGATTTACAAAAGGTTTATTAAACATTATAAGCTAAAGGCCAATCATTTTGAAGAAAAATACAGGTTTTATTTTCATAATTCTGTGAAAAAGTTACTTTGATTATGGCCTCAACCAAAGTAACAATAATATCCCCCATTTATAAAAGGATAATGTCCAAGTTTCCCCAAGATTTTACATTTTGCTTTGCCTATGGATCTGCAGTGAAAAAACAATTAACAAATAAAAGAAAAGAAAACATGCTAGATTTAATTTTTTGTGTTAACAATTCTGGTGCTTGGCATGAAGCTAATTTAAAAGAAAATAAATGGCATTATAGTGGAATTAAATACCTTGGTCATAATGTTATATCTCAGTATCAAGAAAATTTTGGTGCCAAGGTTTATTTTAATACATTAGTGCCTCTGGATGATGAACTTATTATAAAATATGGTGTGGTAACTACTGAAGATTTAGTAACAGATTTATTGGAATGGTCTCATTTATACCTGGCAGGAAGACTGCATAAACCAGTGGAAATTATCAAAAAACCGCTTAATTCTGAACTACAAACTGCACTACAGTTAAATTTACAGTCTGCAGTTCATGCTGCTTTACTAATTTTGCCAGAAACATTTTCTGAATATGAGTTTTACCACACTATATCTAATTTAAGTTATGCAGGGGATTTTAGAATGACTTTTGGAGAAAATAAAAACAAAGTTGAAAATATTGTCAAGCCACAATTATCAGGATTTAGAAATTTATATGAACCTTTTATAAAAGTATTACCTGATTATGTTGATTTCCCTATGTTTAAACAAATTGAAACAAGTGATACAAACTCTGAAAACATACAAAAAATAACATGTTCCCAAGACATAGGTCCACTAGCAAAACTACATCATTTAAATCAACTTCCAAGATGGCCACAAAAAGCATTAACTAGATTTTGGAATCGTGGTAGCTTACGACAGGATACAGAAGATGTTCTTAAAGCAATTGCTTATGATCCTGATTGTAATGCTATTGTTCAGCAATGTATTTCTGATATTGTTTGGAAATCTTCAGTTAGTCAAAGTGTAAAAGGCATATTGACAGCAGGAGTCTTAAAAAGTATTAAATATAGTTCAAGGAAAATTCAAAAAATGTTTGTTTAATATTGCTTCAAATACTAGTTAAGAGTAGTTAGTAGAAATGTATAAGGCCAAGGTTAAATTAAAATAATTTTGATTATTTGGTTTTCATTACAGATAAATCTTAACAAATATAGTTATAATGGATTCTTCTGAAAAAAATATTGTAATCGGACCTGAATTGCCTCCACATTTAATAAATTCAAAAAGTACAGAAAAAATTGAACAAAAAAATGAAATTATTGGACCCACTCTACCTCCTCATTTACAAAAGAATAATTCTGTAATTGGACCTCAACTGCCTTCTCATTTACTTGAAATGAAAGATAGTAGCTCCAATGAAGAAATCAAAACTGATGAAAATAAATATGAAAGTAAAAGTAGTTACATTGGACCAGTTTTACCTGCTCATTTACAAAACCCACAACAAAAATTACCAATCCCTTCAAATTTGGATATAAATAGTGATGAAGATGATGAAGTTTATGGACCATTACCTGTAGGAAATGAAAAACTAAATCCAGCTCAAATTGCTTTGGAAGAAAGAGCAATTCAAATAAAACTTGATAAATTAACAAACAATAAAAATAAACAAAGTAGAGAAGAATGGATGTTGGAATTACCTGAAGTTAAAGCTGCTAATTTTGGTCTTGGTCCAAGACAATTCAGAAGTAAAACTGGACCAGATATGTCTGACAGATCCTCATGGACTGATACACCTAGTACAAAGAAAAATAAGAAACAGAAAACTAACATGGATGATTTGAAAACCAGCACTGAGGAAATAGAGATTAATAAAAAAGATCTTCAACAAGAGGCCATATCCAAAAAACACAAAAGAAATAAGGAAAGTTTGGTAGAAATTCATCAAAAGAAACTTAAAAATGATAAAAAGGTAAACATAATATAAATAACTATTTTTAAGAAGTTTACATCATTTTGTGAGTTACCAAAACCAAACGAATTTTATTGATGCATGCATATATTTTCTATTTTATTTAATTTAAAATAGGTTATTCTTTATTTTTTTAACAAACGTTCTTTCAAGCTGTAACGCACAATTCTTATAAATGTCAATGTTCTAATTAAACAAATACCAAATTTATTAATAAGCTGACTCAACAATTGATAGACAGAATTGGTGCGCGCTTTGAAATGCAAGTTCTTGCTGAGACACCCTTAAGTAGAAGACTTAGTATAAGTATATATTTCATAGTATTTTGTAACCAGTGGCGTAGTAACAAACCTACCCCCTCCTAAAATGTTTAGTGTTCCACCGTTGACTATACTGCACTGCTAAGCTAAAAGGCCGTATCTACCATATTAAGTTATAAAGGACAAAAGATAATTTTTATTGTTTTTAACAAAAATATGAAAAACAAACTTTGTCTGAGTGTTGTTTCACACATTGACGCTACCGTTGGTTCAAATGTGAATATTTTCATTTAAAAATCTTGTCAAAATAATTTATTGTCCCTTGTGTGGAGCGTGACCTAAGCAATAGTCGACCTTTTAGCCTGCTGCACAATAGCCCGGTAACGAGAACGGGAACCTAAACAGTAAAGGTGGGAGAGACTCAGCAAACACTATCTATCAACAGTGGTTTCTTAGTCTCTCCCACCTTTACTGTTCAGATTCCCGTTACCGGGCTATTGTGCAGCGGGCTTTACTCTGCGAGTTGTTTAAAATTATATTTACTCTAGGAACAATCAGGCAGTGGTGAAAGAAGACCATTTAATAGGGAAACTGATCTTCAAGTAAACCGTTTTGATGACGCTCAAAAAAAGGCAGTACTAAAAAAGGCGCAACTTTTAGACGACCGATTTTCAACTGGCAAATCAAAATTTTTGTAACTTATTTAATTATAATTCTTAATAAAAATTAACAAATGTAATGTAGTTTATCAGTATAATACCTAATTGCCCTGGCGAAAATAGAGCGTGCATGAAGTGTGCAATAAGTGTGTATTTGGCGTGCGAGTATTTATATAGTAGTATAGTATATTGGATTTTGCTCGAGGGACATATGACGGTCATGTGAAACAGGAGTTTTAAAACCAAAATTATAAAATAAATTCATAGGATATTGAACTTTTGGTATTATAAATCGATAAAAACTATGCCTGTCTATGTAAAAAAAATGATGGCTTATATAAGGGTTTTAGTTTTAATACCCCAGGGACATAGCATCTTAAAAGTTACTGTAAACCACCCATAAAGCGTGTTTCTATATACTCTTGGGCACCCTATCACGCCCAAGTAAGCCATCGTGATTAAAATACTTTCAGAATATTAAAATCAACTTTTAAGAATGGACATGTTTGTTTATGATCAGATTGCAAGTAACTTAAGTGTTTTTGATTGGATCCTACCAAGACTTATTTTTTTTTATCAGTCCTATAGTCTAAAAACAATTTTTTAAATTCAGAGGGTACCCTATATATATACATATATGTATACAATGTATATAATACTATACATAGGGTACCCTCTGAATTTAAAAAAATGTTTATAGACTTTACCTAGGCCGAGGGGTAAACCACTTTAAAATCTTAGATACCAACGTTTAATATTAGTGGACGTTGTGTTGTGATTTTTTCACCTTTCGGCGACGTCACATGACCAATAAAAGACGGGTTTATGACGTCACGTGACATGTCGTGACTTAGAAGTTTTTAATTTTACGTCTTTCTGACGTTTTCATTAGATGATTTTGCATTACGTAGTTATACAGTACTAATAAAATACGAGTTTGTGACTTCACATTTCTGACGTCATTTAGACGTTTTAATTTTGCGTCTTTCTGACGTTTTCAATAGGTGATTTTGTATCACGTATTTATATATTATATATATATATATATAATACTCCTACTACAGGAAGAGAGGGGGGTAAGAGCTTTGATTACTTTTGCTAAAAAGGGGTAGGGGGTAAATAATTGTACTAAATCTGCTTACGTAATACTATGACGTAACTTTTGACCAAAAACTGCCGTGATTATGACGTTTTTTTTTCTTCTATTTCTATGTATCCGCGGGCATCAGCACCAGATTTAAACGTTTAACTCAGGTGTAGAAATCAGAAAATACATCAAATTTGACTGCAAATAAGTATTAAGAAACTTGACCCTTTGAGAAGTATTTATCACCTTGAATTACCTATACCGGATTCCTATTCATCACAAAATATTCAATGACTAAAACGTAAAACATCCAAAAAGTATAAAAGCAGCAGTTTTCGGACACATGAGCTGTGAATATAAAAAGTCAAATCTTGAATAGGACCATAGTCAGGTCCATAAAACTTGAATTTGGTCAATATTTTTTCATTTGCAGTGTATCCATTTAGAGGACATTTTGCTGGGTGGGACCCTAATGAAAAGGTCAATTTAAATAAATAATATCTAATTAATCATTACTTTAATGCAATTTTGTCCTGATAATCACATAAAATATTTTATATCACATGTGGAGGTTCCTTGTCCCAATGTGCACTGTTGCACTAGTAAATAAGAAAAAGCTGCCCATTTAAACCATGTTTGTTTTATTATACAGAAATGCCACATTCCAGTGCTATGAAGAGGGTAAATGCAACCCCTTACTTTAAAGTGAGGCAGCCTTTGCAAGGTTATACATTTTGCCGCGCACAACAATGGGCATATTAAGATAATTGAATTTGTACTAAAATTTATTAAAACATTAAACAATATGTAGATATTACAGTTTGTTTCTACAAGAATCAATATTTAAATCAATTCGAATTTTTTTAAATATTTTTTATTACTGTATTTTTTTCACAAATATCAATTTTTTACTTAAAAAATGTTGATTGATCCTTGGTAAAATAAATTTTGAAAGGTCATTTTGAATAGCAAGATAACCATTTTGATTTCAGTACATTTATACAAAAACAGTAACGATATTATCCATTATATAATAAAAATATAGAATACAAATTAAAATATTACTATAATATACAAATAATCCTTATTAAACACTTATAATTAAATTAAATGTAGTTATATCATAAATCTATTTAACATAAATTTAACATGTCTTTCCAAAACTTATAAATTGTGTATTTATGATATAATTACAGAGTATATTTAAAAATGGGTTTTTAATACTTTTATAATCTTAGAGCTTTTAACCACAGTGTTTTGACCGATTTTTGTTTCAAAAATTTTAAGAGCTTAACAATACAGATATTTTATCGTAAGCATATCGCATTTTTTCGTATAATCCCATTGAACAACCATTTTGCTCAATTGTTGAAAATCTAAACGTTCTGAAGGATTTATCTTCATCTATGTAGGTTATCGCCGCCATTAGCGGACACATTATAATTTTTGTATGATCTCCAAAATTCATCTAAAACGTTTAAATGATAAAAATTAATGTTTGTTTTATGTGTGTGATTATTTAGACAACTAATTAACTTCTATTACCAACCTGTACTGTTCCATTGTTTAACTGCATAAGAACTCCTGAAGTAGATCTACACCATTGATGTAAATGAGGTGTTCTAGACATACTATCATTTTCTTTAGCAATAAAAGCACCAGTTTTTATTAAATGTTCACGCATGTATCTACTAAAATATGATAACAATTTCATTTTCTTGTCATATTGTTTTGGATAATTATCAACAGTCATGTATGACTCTTCACCATTTCTGTCTACATAATGCACATTTCTAAAAAAAGTTTATAATAAATAAAGTTTATGTTTATTGTAGGTAAAGAAGTTAATCAATTTGATTAGTTTTGCTTTAAACAGTCAAAGTAGATCTTATAAACACTAAATATAATTTTTAAAAGTTTCCCAATACCATTATTTAATAAGTTTACTCATATGTACTAAAGCATATTGGGGTCATAAAATTATTTTTTTTCACTATATTGAAAAAAATCCAATATATTGAAAATAAATTTAATAAATTAAAGTTATTGAAAAAAATCATTTTAGTTTATTAATAACACTAGTTAACAGCCAATTTGCCCACCATGTCTCACTATGATTTTCTTGTGTAGTTTCGTATAATCTATACGTAGTTTGGCTCACTAAACGCGAAAATCACACTTCAAATTTTTTCATGGAAGCGTTTTTGAGGTATGAATTTTCAATTGTTTTTTTTTTAATTTTCTGAGGTGTTTTGACGTTTTAGAGTATACTTCGAGTTCTAATTGATTGATTTGACCAAACAAGCACTTAAATCAAAGGTAATTAAGCCCTCTACAACTTTCTCTTGTATAGTTTTGGTATCGGCTTAGTAGTTCGATACTGGCGATTTTATGAAGTTGAAAAATTCCTTTCTTTACAAAAATCGAGGTCAAAAATTTATATATCTTTCTGGGAAAGATAGAAATCAAAATGATAATTCCAAAAGTTATGAATTTTTCAGTTGGAGACCGAAATTCAGTTTTTCGAGAATTTTTATGTTTTTTCTTCATTTTATTGATTTATATAAATTTTTTTTTTAATTGAATTTATTTATATATTGGATTTTTTAAATTATAAACCTATAAATAAAGCATGAAATACATGGATATAAAAATTGCTTTAAATATACTATTATTGCCATTTATTTACAAAATTTATGGCAGATTCATTAAAAAATCAAAACCAAAACTAAAAAAATATAATATCTCACTATAAAAATAAAAAACAACTTGACTGGAAATTGAAACTTACAATCCATTTGGCAGCATTATTAGTTTTGTGGTATCGTTAAACATTACACCCACTCCTTCATCTGAAAGTTGATATCCAAATCCATATTTGTCTGAATAATCAACCCATTTTGAAACCCATATCATTGGCTGTGCTTGTGGATCAGTCATTTCATCCAAAAACTTTTGATTTCTTGCAGGTTTTGTTTTTAAGACCTTAAAATAATGTATGTATACCAAAAATCCCAACAAAATATTAATTAATAAATATTGAAATAATAAAGAAAATATACCTTTAACAACATAATTCTCAATTGTTCGAAATTATCTCTAGCGTCAAATGCTTGTGGTTGTGCTCCTGCAGCTAAGCCAGCAGCTATGGAGTCATGCATTTTGTGTGGAGATACACCTGTATCACCTTAAAAAAAATGAATACTTTCTATTATTATTATTTATTTTTGTAATAAATACGTCTTAATATTTGCATCAACGAACATTTTTTTACGATAATTAATTAATAACTTGAAATATCTTGCTAACAAAGTCCGATCTGGAAAAAAATTGTTTTGATAATAAAATAAGAGGATTCTTGATTGTTTAAACAAACATATACCTAGTATGTGTTATAAGTATAGTATAAGGGGTTAGAATTGAAGTACAATATATAGGGTTTCCCTTTTTTTTTAAATATGTATTTATAAAAAATTTATTAATAATAATATATTTTCTGAATGCCCAGGCCTAGAGACAAGTTTTTTGTGGTATAGCATTATAAAAAAAAAAGTTTATTTTCGGCCTACCCTAATACTCATTTTTTAAGAAAAAAATCAGTCTATAAACTTGTTGTCCACACCTCATACAATGATAATAATTTAAATAATAAAATGTCCTTACCATGGTTTATCTCAAGTAAAGGTTTTCTTATGGAAACATCTGCCTTATCGAACCTTGGAGCCATTGTTAAACAACTTACTGGCAGTGAAGATGGGCAATATCCAGCCATAAATTCGTGTTTGGCCAATTCATATACTTTTGGTCTACTTTTTGGCTCTCCTTGAAGCATCATCATTATCATTTGTTTTGCTGACAAGGAAATACTGGTGCATATTCTAAAATTAAAAAAGATACACCATTAACATTGAATTTAATTTATCATGATTTTTACTTGCATTTTCATAAGATCAGTGCTTTATTAATTCAATAATAAAATAGAAACAAAAAATAATCAAATATAAAAAAAGTATATTTTTAGGTTTAGAGAATAAGTCATTCTTCATGATTTCCTTGAAATTGCAATACAAATACCAAATGTATGATTGCTTGATTTTTTAATTATGTAAATTTAGATTTTTTTTACATTTTACAAAAATATTTTCAAGAATTTGATTTAATGCCTAAAAACTTATAGGTATCTTTAGATAACATGAGAAATTAAGGATTTTTTTTTTCAATTTTCCATAGCTTGGCGACATTTTACGTACTACAATTTACATAGATGCCATTTGTACGCGATTGGTTGCTCTTTTAAAGTACTTGCAACAATTTTACTACAATTCATATATTTAGAGCTCTATATCAAAGTCATATTTTTAATAAAAAATAAAAAGTATTTTTGCATTATACAGCAAAACGGTTAAAGTTATAGGTAAGAACCCAACTAGCAAAATAAATCCCTTAAAGAACTGAATTGTTTTATAACTATCGTCAAGAGCTGCAAGAGGAACAGTTTTATTGTTTAATGCGTCTTAATACAATAATTTTATCGTAAAAACGACGGAATTCTAATACATTATTGTATATATAATCTTACAAGTCGTGTTATACAGTATGACCCATTTGTTTGTGACTCACCCCTGTAAAATCTTTATTTATTGTGCGATTTTTACCGGATTTGTTTTAAAATCTAGATCTTGAAAAACTGCATTTTTAAAGCAAAAAAAAAAGATATTTTTACAAAATACAAGGCAGTTTTTTAGAGTACGAGGGTGGTTCAAATATAAACCGGAATTTTGCTATAAAAATTTTTATTATTAAGTTACAAAGCTGAAATTTTTTACAATTTTACTAGATTGTCTCCGTCACACTCTACACACTTTTGCCACCTCTCCGGAAGCTTTCGGATGCCTTGTTCGTAAAAATCTCTCGGCTTGTCACGTAACCATTCGCGCACGAAGTATTCTACCTCCGCATTGCTTTCGAATCGCAGTCCGCCAAGTGCCTCTTTCAATGGACCGAACAAATACTAGTCGCATGGCGACAAATCGGGACTATAAGAAGGGTGTTCCAGTGTTTCCCAACCCAATTCGTTCAATGTTTTCATCAAAATTTCCAGCGTGTGAATTTCTGATCAAAATTCAGAAGTCTTGGCACCCATCTGGCTGAAATTTTGCAGTAACCGAGCCGTTTGAATTATTTGCTCAATACTACCTACGCTGATGCCCAATTCTTCAGCCATATCGCGTACAGTACTGCGTCGGTCTTCCAAAATGAGTTTTTCTACAGCGCTGACGTTCTCATCTGTAACACTTGTTTTGGGGCGCCGCGCATATGGCAAGTTTTCCACCACTTTTCGGCCTTTTCGCAAAGCGGAACACCATTCATACACTTGAGTCTTGGAGAGGCACTCATCCCCGAACTGCTCGAGTAATTTTTGATAAATTTCCGCGGATTTTACATTATCTTTGACCAAAATACGAATAATGATGCGTTGCGCAACATACACTGGTACATCCTTCTCGCTCATGGCTATAACTACACTGAAAAGCGAGGTTACGCAGTCCCGGCTGTTCTCTACGCTTCGTAACAGACCAGTCTAACATCCAGTGCAGCCACTTTTACGATACTACATTTTTAGCGCGTTTATTAAAAAATTCCGGTTTAAATTTGAACCACCCTCGTAAATATTTAAGAATTCATATAAGCGATATTGGCACAATGAACTATGATCAAATTTACTTTGAATTAAAAGAAAAAATATTTTTTTTGTTGCAATTTTAAGCATGGGTTAAGCAAGGTTAATTTCATTTAGGTTTTACTTACTTATAATCACATTTTTTAATTTTAGAATAGGTTTCTTTTAAACTACTTGTTTCAAATGGTGGTCTTCCAATAAGTAATGTGTACATAATACATCCTATTGACCAAATATCCACTTCAAAAGAATGACCTTTTTTGTTCAATATTTCTGGAGCAATATAATTTGGTGTGCCACAAAGAGTCTTCTTCCTTTCACCATCATATTCAATTTTGGCAGCCAATCCAAAATCACCAATTTTTACATGAAGATCATCATTTAAAAATAAATTTCCCAATTTTAAATCTCTATGAATTATTTTATTTGAATGTAAATAGTTAACTCCACTAAGTAATTGTTTCATATAAAACCTTGTTTCAGGTTCTGAAATAGCTTTTCTGCGTTTGTGAAGTTCCATCATAGACTAAAAGAAGCAATATTAGTAATTTTTATATTTATTTTATAAACAAATTTACCTTTTTTCTACATAATTCCAAAACAATATAAATGTTGCTTTGATCTTCAAAAAAGTTATAAAACCTAACAATGTTTTTGTGATTAAGAGATTGGTGAATTTCAATTTCCAGAGTCATTTTTTCCTTTTGGTTTTGTTTTGCCATTAATTTTTTGGATACAATTTTTCCGGCAAAAGATAAATTGTTTTGTACATTTGTAATTTCATAGCATTTTGCAAATCCACCCTAAAAATATAATTTTACATTTAATTTTCTGGTTTTAAATACTCACATAAAATAAAATAAAAACTAGCAGTTCTACAAAGTTAAACTTTTAATTTACGTAAATTAATATGTAATAATAATAATAATAATAATAATAACGTTTATTGTGAAAAAATTACTTTACACAAATGGTCGAGGTTCTCACTGAGATCTTCCACCTCGCCAGTGACTTAATTAAGTAAAATATTTAACAAAAATATGTGAACAATCAAAACAAAAGGAACAAAAAAAAAGTCTATCATAATAATCCCCAAGATAAAAGACATGTATGATGTTTATATATATAAAAAAATATATATATATTCTACTACAATAACATAAATACAATATATGTACGAAAATAAGTACCCATAAAAGAACAATAAAAAAAAGAAAAAAAAACTAATCCATTTCTCGTATCCGGGTTTTAATAACATTTTTAAAGGTATAAGTTGGCAGTGATAAATAATTATAAAACATATTAAGTAATTTTGGGGCCATATAAGCAAAAGTGCCTTGAAATTTATTGGTGCGATGTTGTGGTATGTTAAATGTGTTACTTCTTAAATTATGAATGCTCATCCTTAAATTTATTTCTTGTAAAAGATATTCTGGACTATTATTCTTTAATATTTTGTGTAAGAAGACACCATATAAAACTGTTGATCGTTTGTCAATTTTTAATTCATTATTCATGTATGGTGTTACGTGTTCTCTAAAAGGTATGCAATAAACATATCTCATAGCTGAGTTTTGTATTTTTTGTAACGTATATTTAAGTTCTTGCGTTAAAAAATAATAGTACACAGAGTTACAATACTCAATATTTGGATATATTAAACTTTTAATCAATTTTAGTTTTGTACTTGGATTTAAAAAGTGTTTTAGACGGTATAACATTTTTAACTTCATCATACAAGTGGAATATACTTTATTAACATGAGTTTCGAAACTGAGTCTTTCATCTATAATAATGCCTAGATTCTTTGCTGACTGCACCCATTTTATGTTTTGATCTTGAATCATTAGGTTGTTAGATTTTAGGTCAATTAGATTTTTTAATTTATTATTACCAATACACAAAGCTACTGTTTTGTTAGGATTTAATTTAAGTCCGTTATTTGTACACCACTGTACAATACCCTGAAGATCACTGTTAAGTGATGCAGCAGCAGCTTCAAAAGAATTAACATTGAACGACAAATATAATTGGATATCATCCGCATAAAAATGGTATTTGCCAGATTTTAAACAATCGGGAATGTCAAATATAAAAATTGAAAATAAAATGGGCCCTAAGATACTTCCTTGTGGTACACCGTTCTTTATTTGAAGAAAGTCTGAGTATACTTCATTATATCTGACACATTGTTTTCGGCCATACAAATAATTTGAGAACCACAAAACCACATCCTGATCGCAACCAATAAATCTTAACTTCGCCAGTAACAATTCAAAGTTTACCAAGTCAAAAGCTTTACTTTGGTCCAGCAAAACTAGAAAGGTCAACTCCGAATTGTCAATGGCTTTACCAATATCATTAACCACTTTTAATAAGGCTGTTTGTGTACTAAAATTCGTTCGAAACCCTGATTGTAAGGATGGCAAAATATTATTAATATTTAGATATTCTCTTAACTAAATTGATATAATTTTTTCTATTATTTTTGAGACAGCAGGTAATATACTCAGAGGTCTGATATCTGTAAGATTTGTTGCATTGTCAACCTTAGGGAATGGCAGAACTACACCAGTTTTCCATAATTCAGGATAATTTGAAGTTTCTATAGAGTAATTAATAATATGAACCAAGATATCAATAACAAAGGGTAAAACAAATTTTAACATTTTTATATCAATAAAATCCATACCGACAGCATTTGAGTTTATAGTTTTAATCATTTTGTAAACATCGCTATGTGAAATGTATTTAAATTTAAATTTTGGTTTATCATTGTGAAACATTATATTATTATTATAGTAACTTAATCTTTCTTGATTTATATTTAATTCACCAGCTATATTTGGGTCAGAATTTCTCAAACGGGCCACCTGAATTAGGTCAAAATTAGTTTTTGTTTGTAGATACATTTTTTTGATAGTATTTTACATCACTAACACATATCCTAAAGGATTTTGTAAAAAAAAAATTTTCAATTGACATATTCATGATATTAAAAGTCAAAGTTTTTAATAATTAAAAAATAAAAAAATTCATTATGGCTGAACTAATTATCCGATTCCAATGATATAACTAGCGTTGGAATCTTGTTTTGACATAGATTCTTTGTTATTTTTTTCAATTGTACAATTTTCATTTAGGTCGATTTTTTTTTGTTTTTTTTATACCAAATTCGGAAATAATTGCCTTCTGCGCCAGCTATCGACTCGAGAAAAAAAACACATATACTCCAATCATTTCTCGAAATTATGCTGCTGAGAAAAAAAATGGCCCGCAGGTTGACAAAAAGTTATTCGTCCTTTTGTGGCCGCGCGCGGTGTCAGCTCACGCTCCGAACCGTGTACGCTGTACGCGCTTGTGACGCGACGTCTTACGGTGGTCTGGAACCTGCGGGCCATTTTTTTTCTCAGCAGCATAATTTCGAAAAATGATTGGAGTATATGTGTTTTTTTTTTCGAGTCGATAGCTGGCGCAGAAGCCAATTATTTCCGAATTTGTTATAAAAAAAACAAAAAAAAATCGACCTAAATGAAAATTGTACAATTGAAAAAAATAACAAAGAATCTATGTCAAAACAAGATTCCAACGCTAGTTAAATCGTTGGAATCGGATAATTAGTTTAGCCATAATGATTTTTTTTTATTTTTTAATTACTAAAAACTTTTACTTTTAATATCATGAATATGTCAATTGAAATTTTTTTTTTTACAAAATCCTTTAGGATTTGTGTTAGTGATGTAAAATACTATCGAAAAAATGTATCTACAATCAAAAACTAATTTTGACCAAATTCAGGTGGCCCGTTTGAGAAATTCTGACCCATTTACAAAATAGTTATTTATATTATTTGAGGATATATCATTTGAAAGATTACTGGTAAATTTGTTTCTCGCATTTTTAACTCCCCATTTACCTATATGTAGGCAGAAAGACAGTAGCTTTTGGTTTTTAATAAATATATTTACTACTACCTACTATTTTTAGTAATCCCAATAAAGTTAAGTAAATAAGTATTAGGTTTTAAATCCCAATTAACCCTTATTTTTTTAAATAACACTTTTCTTTTTATATTTGTTATACATTTTTAAAAGCAAATAACGCTGTTTTTTTATTTATTTATTAAACCCAAAAAGAATACATGATTCCATAGCAGGTACAATAGTAGAAAAATAAAAATATTCAACAAATATTATTTAAAAACACTAAACTATAAAATATAAATATGCCTTTGTAAAACATGGGTGTTAAGTCACTTAATAGTTGATAATTGTCCAGTTGGATTTTTTTTTAGTAAGTACACATTATAAAAATAAAATAAACTGATGGTCAAAATTAATACCACTTTTGTACCTATCTTTATTGTACTGGGCTGATTTTTAAATATTGATTTAATATACATAAATTTATTTGTATATAAATTTTAACGTAAAACTTCAGTTAGGATTAAATTTTAACATAAAGCTTTAGCCAGGTTTAAATTATTATTAATATACAGATTCTAATAATGTACCACCTAATATGAAGTGATGGGTATTTCCATTGTAACAGGTGCGACAATAAAACTGCGTTTTTTGATGATAATAGAGTGTTTTTCATATATATCAAGATACGTTAATATAAAAATAGTATAAAAATTAGGTACTCATTTAACTAAAACAAAATGTCAATAAAAACTTGAATAGAAAACCTTTTATAACGTCATGAATAGCGTAACGGGCGCGTCCTTAGGAAATCGCCAAATGGCAAGTTGGCTTCTAAAGTTGATACTGTAAAATTTTGGATGAAAGCATATAGTAATAATTTTTTGTGTAAATCTTAAATAGTAACCTTAAACAAGCACGGATTTTAAAAGCACAAATATTGTATACTTTATTTTCTCAAAATGTAACGGGTGCGACATTTTAACATTTTATCGAGTACCTATAGAAACTCTTAGCGTCAGAATGTACGAATATTTTAAGATTATAAAATTACTTCAAAATTAAACTATTTGACTTCAGATAAGTACAGTTGTTATTTTGTTAAATAACACATCTGATTTTTTGTCAAGGTGGGGTAAGGTTTTGTTGAAACAGCAATTCTTATAATTTAACTTATTTAATACAACTTAAATTTCTATCCTTAAAATTAATCATTGGTTACTGGTACTGCAGGTATATTTATGTACCACAAACATTCGTATGCTACTAACCTTAAAATTTCTCATTAAAATTGGTGCTACTGTGTACCAGTTAGTATTTCATAGTTTCCAGAGACCAAATCAGATTGATTTTTAACCAAAAATTTTATGTTGGCGCCTTTTATCTTACTTTTAAACAAATGATGCACCAATGTTAAATCATTTTGTGATATAAAAACGTAAAAAATAGTGCAATGAGTAATTTTCTTTTATTATTTGTGTAGTCAGTAAGTATTATTGATTGTAATGTTTAGTTTAGGATTTTTTCTAGAAAAAATAGAGTGGTACAAATGTGTACCAGCTCAGTTTTTAAGTGCCGTTTATACTTGTGCCATTTGTACTATTGTTACAGATGTAATAAATAAGCAATGTCTCGAAAAGCATTGACAATACAAGGCACTACCAGAAGGCAATGAAGGGGTTGTACCGAAAATAAAATACAAACCAGGACCACAACATTATGTCAAAAGGGTAAAATCCCACTATGTAAGGTGGTTCATAATGATACCACAAATAAATGTTTTATAACACTGCTAAATATACCATCCCATTTTTCATTTTTTAGAGTTTTTTTGCTCAAACTTCCTTTACTAAGCCCCAAAGTTAAAGTTAAAAATAGGAGGAAAAAAATATTGTTCTAAAAAATAAAACTAAAAACTAAAAGCCGAAAGGGTTAAACAGGAAATTTCATGTCTATGAAATAACTTATGTAAACATAAACAATAGACCTATGTATATGTTCTTTGGTCTAAGACAAACCCATTTTATATCAAAGTGCATAATGATAATCACAAGTTTTTACAGTACATTTTTTATGTAGGTATGTTTTATGTATTAGACAAACTTTTTTATTCGTTTTGTAATTGTTAACTAAGCCAATGGTTTATAAACAACATTTAACAAATATCTGATTTTTTATTGTAAAACGACATGATTTGCATTACCTTTCCGAAAAACCTTCCTCTTTTGTATTGAGTCCTTGTATTGGAATCATACATAACTTCTGGAATTTGACCCGCATCTTCTTCTCTCGACATTTTAACACAATTTCACCTAATATTCAGTCACCAATTGTTATTTTTAAAGTGCGGTTTATAAAAAGCACAGAGTAAATTATTGCTTGCCTGTACTGAGGCACATAAAAAGAATATGGCAGTTAACAGAACGTTCAAATGATTTGATTTCATTGGCTGACAATATGCATGGGATTGGTTCATTTTAAATGTCAACGGTAAGAACAAGCAGATGTAGCTATGTTGCCAGATTTGAGTTTGCCAAAAACAATTTACAAAGTTAATAAACCATTGCTATAGATAATAAATATAAATAAATATGGGCACATTCCATCTTATTAAAGTTTTTAAGCCAAAATCATTAGGGATATAAACAATCTATCCCTAATACATTTCAAACTAAATATCGTATGGCAACATTGCTTACTGTAGTTCAAATGTACTACTCTTTGATACTACTACCCACAATCAGTGTTGCCACTTGTAACATAATTATCGAATTGTAACATAATTTTTTCTAAAAACAAAGCTTGAAAATTATATGTAACATAATCGATAATTGTAACATAATTTTTAATCCAAGTATCTGGACAAAATTAACTTAATTCTATTCAGATTAATTAATTTAATTAAGCATAAAGCCTGATTTATAGACTTCCTTCCTTCCTGCCGTAAAAGATCCATAATACCGTAGTGCTGTTTATAGATTCCCGTACGGTATTTATAGTTCTAAAGGTAACGGTAGAGGCAGCGGTAGCGGTAGCCAAGTTGGGCATTGAATATTATATGAAACAATTTATAGTTGTCAGAGGTACCGTAAGGGAAGTAGAGGCAAGAACGTAGCGGCAAGATATGACCATCTTTCATCTTTTCTTACCTCAACCTCTACTCCAGCCAATCACATGGCAGTTTTTAGTTGACAGCCTCGCCTTGTAAGTTTAGTGTTTATGCGAGGGGCCGCCATTACCGCTACCGCTACTTTCTGAACTATAAATCCAGCTTTATAGTTTTTTAACAAATTTTATAAATTTCCAAAAAATCGATAATATTTTCAACCCTGCTTCTTTCACTTTTTTATGATTAAATTATAACATTATTATTATTGTAACATAATTATTACAATTATTGTAACATAATTTTCCGAAAATTCGATAATTTTCAATCCATGTGTGGATTGTGCTACTACCATTGATGTCAGATTATAGTAGAGATGGGCGATATATATCGATGTTCATTCAACATCGATGTTTTGATACCGACCATATACCTATAACTATATATAACCTATAGGTATATGATACCGACAAAGCGACGGAAGTACCTATGTGAGCGACGGCACATACTTCCACACAAGTATGTGAGCGACGGATATTCGAGTGCCATCTAGCGTTTAATTAAAAAACTTTAATAAGAAAATTCAACTGGTGAAGTAATTATGGATTTTTTTTATAATGAAAGGCTAATGTTTACAAAAATTGCCTTTAACTTTCTGTTAATTTTTATATGCTTAAACAACATCGATGTTAACATCGATGTTTGCTGACCAATGTCCCATCTCTAGATTATAGTGATGGGTCCAGCGTTGCCAACCGTACTATAATTGTAGTATTTCTACTATAATTTTATGTTGGTGTACCTACAATGTACTATAGCTGATCTCAAACTGTGGTACGCGTACCACAAGTGGTACGTGAGGCATCCAAAGGTGGTACGCGAATAGATAATAGATGTACTTGCCTTCAAATAAAATTATCGTTGGCTCAATTTTATTGAAAATCTATTATTTCTCACATTTTATCTTATGTTCTGTGCATTTTATATTGTAAATGACAACACTGTTGTTGGTGTTCATAAACAGGTAATCCCCTGCTCGTTTTAAAATCTTGACGAGTCATGCGTATTTTGTTTTGTTCTGACAAATTGTTGTTTTAATACTTTAAAAATTGGTTCTGTTTCACGGTTATCAATATTTCTTATTAAACTACAAGTTTAATAAATACGTACAGCACAACTTGTTTTATTTAGTTCGGTGGTACTCGATTAATCGGGAGCAGCTCATTGCATCGAAACTCAATAGATCGAATCTCGCCAGATCGAAAATTTACATGACCTTCGAAGCTCACCAGATCGAAAATGTGTGGCATCGTCGCACTTTAAACATCAAATTGGTAAGGTTTGGTTCACATTTTTCATTAGGAAAAAGCGATTTTTCTTAAATGCAAACAAAGTTCGATCTGGGATATGCCTGTAGATGTATAGGTATACAGTATAGTAGTTTAAGCAACAAAATTTAAAAAGTTATTTATTCTTAGGTAGGTACTTTAAAATGGTAATTTGTATTTATATGAATACTTGAAAACATTGACAAGTGATGTTGTATTTTTATTCTATGGTTGTAAGAAGTGATTTTGACATGTAAGTTTAAAAATATTTTTTATAATAAAATTAAGTTTTTTTTGTAGAATTCCAATTACCTATTCAAAGTTGAAAGAAGAAACAGTTGGTCAATTTAGGATAGATTTGTAGCATGACCATGTCAGCATCGCCAACCAGTCCTTTAAACATTTTAAATTTTGAAATAATAATTTTAAATTTTGAAATAATAGAATTAATATCTATTTTAAATGTGTGTTTTACTAAATATTGTATGTTTTCAGTACCTCCTGAGGATGCCGAAAGGTGAAAGTAGTCAAGATAATTAAAAAATAAAAATATCCATGATGCGAAATTGTCACCGACACTGAGTTAGACAAAGGAGAGAAACATACAAGATCTTTTATGTATCCTTCGAAGGATAGTATGTGACAAGGGGTGAAACAGAATTGACAAAACTGAAAACATGACTCCTAATCGATGAGTTGCCAGTTGGTACAAAATTATGCAACCAAGCACACATACACGTATGCTTTGTTGCTTGATTCTTCCAAAACTCGGCCATGGTGAAAAAAAGTCGGACATCATGTTTTGTGTGCCATTGGGTCCTGTTTGCTTATAAGAACTTCTTAAGAAGGCTTATTTAACTGTGTACAGTTTAAAACGTAAGTATTTTGTTTAATTGTCAGCTTTTTAGCAAACCTTGGTTTTCTATTACTGAAGTCCAGTTGGTTCATAAAAAAGAATAATTCGGTTATTAACTTGTGGCAATACAAATAAAGCAATATTATAAACTTGTCAGTGTTCTAAAATATATTAGTAAAAATTATAATCAATACTTTACAAACAAAATTATTTGGAATGAAAAAATATTAGAAGCAGTTTAAATTGTTAATAACAACAATTTGTTATGTTTTATTTCAAATGTTAAATCTTATAGGTTTGTTACCTTATTTTTTAACCAAAGTTTACTAATTATTATTATAGTCATTGCAATAATATTGTAACATAATTATTAATAGCCACATAAAATTTTTTGAATAATGTGTACATTTAAATACATCCATTTAGATACATAAATGAGAAAAATGCATCCAAAAAGAATTTAACAGTGGAACATTTTAAAAAATTTTAAAAAAGGTAGAATTTTTTAAATTTAAATTTCATCAGTGTTAATGTCTGTTATATTATTGTTTTACTAAAAATTGCCCAATATATTTTTGCTTTAAATTTTATGTTAATTAAATTTTTAATTTTTAAAAGGAGTTGGAATATGGAAGCCATGGGACACCAACCTGAGAATATAAACTGAATGCAATTAAAGTTGGAATATGAAATGTATAGGTATAACACTACCCTAAGAACATAAACCTTACATAAATGCAACACAACCCCCAAGTTTGAATAAGGAATCCATTGTACACCAACAGGCAGACATAAACCCTACTTAAGTAGGCTACATAATATTTATCCATATTATGGATATTATGTGCCACTATCCTAAGAACATAAACCAAAATATGTCAAAAATTTTGTACTGCATTTTTTAATATCTTCAAGTTAAAGGATAACATAAAAGTTAAATGATATGCATATTCTTATTTTTGTAAGGAAATAATAAATCATTACCTATATTAAAATTTTTTTTTTTAAATACTAAACAATTAGGTACCTATATTTTATTATTAATTTATTTTTGTAAAAGTAACTTTTTATTATTAAATTTGCTTTTACTACTCTTTTTTTGTAAGTTATAGAGTTTTTTAAGACTGATGGACTTTTTTGTAGGTAATGCAGTTATTATATCTCTAGATGAAAGTCCAAAATTTTAAATATAATCAATCAAAATTTAAACAAGTTTTCAATATATTAAATACCTTTTTTTGAATCCTATAATATTGTACAAGTATAAATTAAAAACTTTATTTTAAGAGAGTAATATAATATTTTTAAACTAATTTATATATAAATTAGTTTTAAAATATAAATTATTAATATATATTAAAAACTGGTTTAAATTTTGATTGGTCATATTTAAAATTTTGGACTTAACGTACTTTGGCTCTGAGTTATAGAATCTATACTATAGATAGATATGTAGATAGAGTTAATTTTTTATTTAGTGATTTTATTAAGTTTTTAGTTAAGGCCAGTTTGTAATTAATTTACTCCAATACACTTTAAAGTGTAAGTAACAATTGTTAACTTCTTTTTAAAGAACATCTTATGTAAGTAGTGTTCTGTTAATAATATTATTATGCTAAGTTAGTATTGTTAACAAACCCCTAATATTGTTAAACCTGTTAAATTCTTAAAAAGATCTTAAATATTCATTCATTATTTTTCATTCATGCATCATTCATTCATCATTTATGCATCATTCATTCATCATTCATTAATTCATAAATATGACGATATATTCTGCAGCAAGCTCTTGTTCATCCTATTGGATTATGTTGCTCCTATCTAAACTGGCGAAGAAGATTCCGAAATTAGCATTGACGCATCCGTAAGTTTATTTTTTATGACCGTGGAATAGGCCTACTGGGGAAACCACGTTAAAAAAACGCGCCTTGGACGCGCCTTGGACAAGAGTTGATCAAAACATAACTGGAATTTAAGTTTTAACTCATTCTTAATGCTAACATGAT